ACACTTAGTAAACAATCTACAATGATCAGCTTACACCGTCTTATCAGCGCTGTTTACCCTTTTCCATCTAGATCATCTCTTCTCTCCCCAAGCCGCCATGCAATCCAAAATCATTCATCTTTCCATCTTGTGCTGTAATACAAAAAAAGTGTACTACAGGCAGTCTTTACTTCTCTCTACTCCGTTTCCCATGGATTGCTGTGAGTGGAAGACTGGAGCTCCCCTATAAGTATCCCTAATTTGATGGGGTGGGGTGGTCAGCCTCCACTTATTCCCTGCATAGAGTGCCTGGAGGCAACAACACTACTCAGAGGCCCTGCCCACTCATCCATCCCCTAGAAAGCTCTCCTCATTCCCAAACCAACACAAGACAAAAGCTCCTCAAAATTGGTTAAAAATAATCCTCAATTTCATGTTTCACAGGGCTAGAATAGGGAGAGGGTTGATGCATGTTTCAGCATGTCAAAAGGTCTTAAATGTCTGAGGGCAAACACAGGCTGAGGTTGTATATGCTCCTGTCTGAAAGATTCAGGAGAGAGACAGCAGAATAGTGTGCCTCAAGTTAAAAGAATGCACAAAAGTCTGGGAAACAGAGGGAAGTTTGTCAAAACTCTCTCCATTCTTGGACACTGCTATGGGGCAGGGGTCCACTATTTGAATTCCAGTAAACACAGGAAATTAATTGAGCTAAGATGAAATGAGAATGACTTCAACAACTGAAACGTCATTAGAACATCATGTCCTCCTTGGAATAACAAGGGATATGGCTGGGATACAGATAGACAGTGAACTGCAGTCAATACAGTCTAAAGGCAAATGCAATTCAAGCGTCTCTGAATGGGCCTTTTGTGTAGTGCAACTCAATAGGTAGCCTCATTTTATTTGCAGGTATACTGTGCAGTCTGGGCTAAAATACATTAGTGGACAAGCATGAGAACACAAAGTGCACGATCTTTCCAAGCACTTGCAAAAGCTTCCAATTAAAATATTACACACAATACGTCAACAGTAATTAAAGAGTTTCTTTGCAAAAGCTTTCTTTAATCTGTGGATGTAAAAAAAGGGAGACTGTGATTCAGTCTGAGCTCAGAGACCACAACAGAGATTGAGACATTGCAAAGAAAGACATTTCAGCCTAGATCATATGATGAGGGGTGTGTGTATGTCAGTGTGTGTCAGTAAGAATAGGTTACAATTAGGTCAACACGAGGTCAAGGGGAGCTAGGTGTTGGGTGGGGTATTTAGGACCGCATAGCGAAGCAGTTATTATAGTGTGGGTGTTGATCATTTTAACTTGCACTGATGTCATCAAAGTGGCTTTTGTGGAGCTGGAGAGTTCTTAACACCCACGTACCTGCCCTCACGAAGAGCTGATAATGGATTTTTTGTGTGTATGTGTGTTTCTCACATCACTTGAACAGCTTAGTCACACAGTTGTGTATGGGTGGCCTCTGTTCATGTTCATTTGTCTTTTCTTTACCTCTAATTGATTATAAAAACACTTTCTCTCAATAGTGTTAACCCAACACTGCTAAAGCTGAAGTCAGTTTGAAACTGAGGTTTCTCGAACCTTACAACACCTGTTCCTGACATGGCCTCTGCAGTCAAGCACCCTCGTCCCAGGTGCATTCACTCTCACACACAGAAACATGTGCAGCTCAGCACAAACTATAACTCTGTTCAATCCAGCCCTGCACATTTGTTTTGATGCTGTGTCTGATGTTTTCTTTTTCTACAGCTACCGTAGAAAGGCTTGCTCACCATATGACTGAGCCTAGAGACAGCCTCAGCCCACACACTCGTGCTTTGCTTCCAGAGTGTTCTGTCCCAGATCTATACAGTCAGGACAGAGACAGCCAGAGCTCTCCACAAAACACAGCATAACTGTCCCATGTTACACATGCCATTGTGAACTGTTGCTGGACAAAGGGACAAAACATGTTGCCTTGGTAACGCTCCCCTAAAATAACTGCATTAGGTTGTTCTGGGAAAAGGTAGCTTGTGCATTGAGCAAATACAGGTGAGTGAATTGACAGTGGACTTTACAGCTAATAAAATATACAGAATAAAATTCTGTGAACTAGCTGAGAAAAGACAAATTTCAACTCCCTTCTTTGGAGGCCTATGCCAAGAACAATCCACAAAAGCTGCACTAACACATTAGCCTTGCATGGCAGCACATGTTCTATGCAGGCCAACATTTTCAGCTATTCACCCTCTCCATCCCTCCACTCAGGACACATTTTCTCTTTATCTTGCTTCTACTGCAGCTACATGTTCTTCTTTTCACCACTTGTCTCTTGCACATAACGGCTCTTCAAAGCCACTGCTGCTCTTAGAATAAAATGATGGCAGCCGTGCGTAGTGTTGGGTGTTCACCGTAGGTGGGCAACCCCAAATCGATGGCTCTCCCAGGCCTTTGCTAACCCATTCCTTTCCCCCATAGTCGTGCCACATCCGTAAGGTTGGGACCGCAGCCCATCTGGGTTTGGTTAGAGCCAAGAAATAAGAGCTATAAAACTAGGCCGAGAGGAAAACAGAGGGGCACCTCCTCATCTACAACCCCAACCAGTGCTCTCAGATAGAGGCTCTGATGTGGTCTGGAGCAACGTTATACTGGCGAAAACCGGCAGTCTTTAGATCTGACCTGATGTCATTCACAATACAGCATTTAAACTGATCCATTGTTGACTGTAGCCATCTGAAGCATTTTGCACCGAACATTTTAACTGTATTTAATATGGACACCATATCCATCATCCAGTATGGACAATAAACCCACTGCACATCAATGTGGCAATAAAGTTTAGATTATGAATTTGGCATCACAACACAAAAATAAAATGTTGCAATACTGGCAAAGCTGAGGGCACTTTATAAAAAGCTATTAAACCACTTGGCTTTGATCACTGGTATAAAAACAAATCATTCACACACTCAAATTGCGCTGGTGTTATTAATATTAATATAATAATAAATAAAATCAATAATAATAAATAATAATAATAATAATCTTCACAATGTTCACAATGTTTCTGCACTAAATATATTTTATATCGTTACCTACAGTCTATAAAAGTAAAAAAAAAAAAAGAAATTCATGAAATCATTTAATGCCGCTCACAGATTCTAGCTCTACCTTCTTTGTCTCCAAAAAAAAAAAAAGAAACGAGTGCCAGATATGAATGTCAATTAGCCAAGTTTGTACAGCTGTTTATTGGACACAAAACAATTATTCTAATGCGTTCGCTGTGACAAGTGAGGTTCTATATTTAGTGTCACTTGATATTTCCAGCTCCAGAGCCTTGCTACCCCCCCTCCTTTTGATCCCCCTTTCAGAAAGGAGATGAAAAGATGAAGAGTGACATCCAGAGAGACAGATGAATGGAAGGAGGACATCCGCCTCTTCCCTTTGTCTCTTCCAGAAAACACATCATCCTTCCTTCTTCAAGTGCCATCATTCTCCACCAGTGCCTCACAAACACAATTTATTGGCTCCAGTTTGAAGAAGACATTAAGGCCAGTCCAGTATTTTTGTGCAATAACATTTTTGGTAAAAAAAAAAAAAAAAAAACTGGGGGGAATGAAATGACCCGGAAGGGCATGGAAAAGAAAACAAATCTACTCTGCATCATAGCTCCTGCTGCTTCTATTACATAAAACCTCTCAGCATCTCTCATCTGCCAGAGAATGCCACATACAGTATTGAAAGGGTCAAAAACAACAAAGCAAGTGCTGTTTCAACTACACCTCATTTCAAAGCACAACCCGTATTCAGAAAAAAAAAAAAAACTGTTGAGTACAGCTTTGGGTCAATCAATACTCAGTGTGCCCACATGCAGCAGTATAATGCAGTAGTAACAGAACCGAAAAACTATATAGTATTCAAACAAGTGACCTACAAAAACATGAACTCCAAAAAAGAGCCAGTCAGTCTGCATCTTAAATGTATAATTATTGTATAGATATTTGACTATTGGCACCAGTAGAAATCACTGAAGACATTAGTCTTCCTGGCATTGCATGGTTTTCCAGTTTTCCTTTCAGAACAGGAAGTTACCATGGGGCTCTTGCACAATAAGTGTGTTAACTAGCTTTAACAAATACACACAACTTGGCACATGACTTCTAGAATCAACACCATGTGGTGTCACTTCATTCCTTTTGACGCCACTGTGCTAGTTAGCTTAGTGTTTCACACATTCATAAAATACTCTGTTTGCAAGAGAGCTCTGATGCTAACAGTGTGATAGTGAACCCATCAGACAAACAAAACAAACAAAATAACTACACTTCAGCCTAACCTACCTACTTCCAATGTTCTGTAAATCAATTCTTCTCCTTTTGTTATGTAACATCCTCATATGAGATGCTTTCACTTAGAGAAACTCATTTTTTTTAAAGCGGAAATGAACAGGCATAAAATCCCTCTGCTGGAATCAAAATGACTGAACTAGCTACTTTACAGTCATGGGATATATTATATCATACATTGATCAACAGAGAAACCTACTGTAAGTTACCAAATAGTGGTCAGAGCGATTATCTAACCCACCTGAAAAGAGTCTTTTTTGTGACATGCACTAATAAAAAAAGTTAAACTTCCAGTTTATATATCATATTCAGAAATAAACTGTTCGGTAATAACTTTTTTGAGAAGTTCCTGTTTGTTTATTAACCTGCTGTTGCTGCTGTATGCTTGTAATGCAAACTCAACATTTCCTCCAGCAGTTTCACATTAAAACCCTTCCAGGAGTTAAAGGGGCATAATCACTTCCCTTTTATTGACAGAAATTGTGCTGAGTTTCATTAACCGCAGGTTAACACAGAATGAAAAGCAACGGGGAATGAATCGTAAGTTCAGTGGGTGAAAACTCAAGAGCAAGAGAAAGGTATGTGAGGAGTATGGCATGACTTCACCATGCAAGCCAACATAGAACAGGTATTTTACTCAAAGCAAATAGAAATCAGCAGCTGACAGGAGGAAAGCATTCACTCACCATTTCGTCCAGAGCATAGCGAAGTAAGCCATGCTCGTAAAGGATGAAGAACCTCCTTTGCCATTTCTGCATAAACAAAAAGAGACATTCTTGAATTACTGACATGGTCACATGATAGATATCAGTATCAATCCAGGCAGTATATCACATCCATATTTTATTATCACAAGTAAGTCATTTTTAGCCATCACAGTTCAACAAATACTGTTTAAAGTAAGGACAGATATTTAGTATTATTCTTTACTGGATCTGTAAATAAATCTGTTCAAATTAAAATCTTACATACTATACACTTCAGGGTGTAAAGACTTGGCCACTCCACTGGTGCACACTCACACAAACAGTGCATGCACAGGGCGAGCAACCCTTTGGGAAACAGTTGTCATGCAGTGGCAACCCAGTTCTTGGCACACTTTCAGCATACACCACATCAAAAGGTTTTAAAGCTAGCTGGAAAAGATTTTATCATCCTGCGCCAGTTCAAGAACTAATCACCCAGTTTTCAATTGGTTGTAATTAATAAATGCATGAGGGGGAAAAAGACAACAGACAAAACACAGATAGGAAAACACCTTGTTTTTATGTACCTGCTGAACGCAGATATAATGTCAACAAAAACTACGTAGGTAGAATTCTTTTACACCGGTACATAATATTACACTTCTGTAACATTAACCACGCTCACAGCTGTGTTACAGGAAATAAATTACACACACAACCTTGAACTGATATCGGACAGTATCGTGTCAGTGTTTGTCCAAAACACATGAAGTACACAATGTTAACGGACCACGGAATAGTGAGGAAGAGGAAGAGGATCATATTCCTGAACTACAAGGTCAAATGAAACACACAAGGGAGTCATTTTCACTCATCGTTAGAAAGCAATTTCTTCCGTTATTTGTGCAAATGATATGGTGACAGATTCCATTGATGTCCCTCCTCATTGGCTTGATGAGCTCTCCACTGTCCCCCTCTTATCTAAATGCACCGTTTTGTCTCAGTGTTAAATATCCTGGGCTCCGATTCCAACTGAGCACAATCCATGAAATATTGAGAGGTGCTTTGTAACCTAAAAGCCACTGGAAGGTCTCAATAGGGACGCTGATGAGCTTCACAGGGACATTGGAGTCATATCCATTAAAAAGGTGATAGATATGTGACTTACAGGAGGCTTCTAAAGATCAATTCTGCAGTGTTGTTGATGGACAGAGTAGAGCCACAGACCCAAAACCTGTCAGACTAAAGTGGTCCTAAAACGTGACTCATCCAACGTGTCAGCACTTTTTCCTCTGTTATTTGCTTGTCGGTCAGTCAAAACCTGCTCACCTCAGCACTACATATGGCCACCAATTATACCCCCACGGTGAAAAGCTGATTGTAAGAATAGGCAGAACACATCAGTGATTATGTCAAAGCAGCGACAGAGTGTTGACAGTACTTTGAGCTGAAGGATCCAGAGGTGCTTTTCCCCCCAGAACCCATATGGAAGCCATCAGTGCGGTTGTGAGAACTGGGACTTTTCCTTTTCCTCCCCCACATTCTCTCTTACTCCTTCTTTGGGATGCACCACCACAGTGTAATCTGGGAGCTGATAAAGGAAGCCGCGCAACAGAGCAAGGCTCCCATTACATGATGCTAGGGGAGCAGGATTCATGAAATAAAAGTCAATATTAGGCTCATTATTGCCTGAGAACGAGGCTTCTTCTGATAGAGGGCCAAGCCTCCCACAGGAAGCGGCTGAATCCATGAAAACAGCGAGAGGAGCCACCACCACCAGACCTCCTGTTTGACAGATATCAAATGACTGCCAGAATAGATAACAAAATTAAAAGAAGGGCTATGCAATCCAATCGCCTTTTTTCAACTTACCTGGCACCGTCGGAGCAGCCCTAATAGTAAACTTTACCCATCTCATACTCAAATTCCTAAGTACTGCACCTATTACCTCTTGGCATGAGCAGAAGCGACAGACAATAGATTTAAAAAAAATACCATTTTGTTTTCATGAAGCTCCAGCAAAAGTTTCCTGATTAAAAGGAAGTTTAAAAAAAAAAAGAGGCAGAACTATGTTCCGTTCTGAATATAATCAATTTCAAATCCAGCAATGGAACCACTTACCCGGGATCTGTGTAAGGGATTGTCAAAATTTGTTCCCTCTGGTGCCAGCAGCAACCATCCTCCATATATAGGTTTTGCCTGGTGAGGAGAAAACACAATTACAGCGTTAAAAGCAAACACTAGAACAGGCACATCAACATATCGATCAGCAATTATGCATATTTTAATTCACTGCAGGCTAGTCCCTAGTTCAGGCTTCAAGTGGTGACCCAGTATCGGACACTGACACACACACACACACACATTGAAGTTTAACTTCAGGAAGGTGTGTATTAGTCTCTAGCTGCCTACAGTTGACTGCAGGCTCCATTCTCCAGCTGGCTGTATCCCAGAGCACCATGCTGTCCTGGAAAAAAAAAAAAAGAAAAGCTAACACACATGATTTTCCCTCTGATCCTCTAAGTGGGTGGACTGGTGGGTGGAGGGGGCAGAGAGAGGCAGAAGTTTGCAAGGAAAACAGTGGATGAGAAACAGGAGAGAGTGCAGAGCCTGAGAGCTTTTGTGGCTACAGATTTGCAATTCAAACTTGTCCCGAGAAATGCAAGTTGGCCTGGCAGACTTTCTTAAATAGTTCTGGTACAAATTTGAACTCTAGCCATACTAGTAGTCAGCATTTGTTTGCCGAGCCAAAGAAGCCCCGCATAACCACTGCAGGGTTGTGTGCACAGGAGCACACATTTTACTACACATTTACACCCAACTCTTACCTACACTGGGAGAGCTTAACAAATTAAGTACCTTACGTAATTCAGCTGCACTCCCCAAGTCTACGGAGCAGCAGCCCGCAAATCATGGCGGCAAAGCTGACATTTACAGCCGCCTGGCACCTCCATATCCCTCTATCACCGGTTTTGATTACAGTCATAATTTCGTCCCATGTAAAGCCAAGTATAATCCAGCATAAAATCCTCTTTCACTTTGATTACAGGACGCGCAGCACATTTCTCAAATGACTGACTGTGTAAACAAAATGACGCAACAGGAACTCTCAATCATAAGCCTGTAACCTTGGACAGTCAAAGAGTTTGTGCACACTCGGGAGGAGAAACAACATCCGACTTTTGCAACAACAACAACAACCTGCGAGGTGACAGCACGCAGGAGTAGCAGCTGAACGGATGAGACCAAAGTTATTTGATAATGGCACGCGCGGGGAAGGGCAGTACAGTAAGTGTTGAGGGGGAATTACACTAATGCTGGGACACTAGCTTTCTCCTTGCCTGTGAAAAATTCTTAGTCTTAGGTCCAAGAAGGAACTGAGACGGAGCGCAATTTAGAAAAATGGCCCATCTCTCCTCACATGACCCATCAGCAGCCCGAATGGCAAGTCCTCCCGAGAGAGAGAGAGAAACAGACGAGATGAATCTAGGTCATTTTTTACCCTTCAGTGGTTCAGAGGTTAAACAGAGTCATTTAAGTGTGTTCATTTCGCATGTCCCCCCCATCATAGATGACAAAGTAATATTGCACTAATAGTATGGGCCTTTGGGTGGTGAGGGTTCTGGATAAACATATGCACAGAATGAGATTCACAGGCCTTCGTTATCTTCTTGTCGTAGGACTTCTAAACAATGAACATGGCCAGACCGTCCCAGGATGATAACCTTTCACTGGGTGCAGTTATCAAAGGATAAGGTCGATAGCCAGTGGGTGAGAAATTCCACTGTGACGTAACCTCAAGACTATTTCCAATCCAACAGAGAGGCCACTGGCCGCGACGGAGGACAATAAGGGAAAATGTGTACAGCAACCATTAGTCCACAAACAGCCATACTTAGAGACGTTACCAACTGAAGAAGTGTCACTCATATAAACTGCCAACCTGGACACAGGTGACTCTTCTTAACCTGCCGTGTTAAACAGCTTACCAAAGGGAACGATCACGATACAGGCCAACAGAGATCAGTGCGATCTGATGTCACCATTCACAACCTGCCAATGTCAACAACACAGTCCAGCAGGGAGTGTTAGTGGAACATCTTCATTTGTGATTATATATATACAAACAATGGGATTTTGACAGCCTTCACATTCTCCCATCCTTAGTGCCTTTGGGATGAAGATGAAAACTGCCATAAGAATAAGGAAGAATAAGGCAAAATGCCAAAAGGATGGAGGACAAAAAATGTATATTTTTCAGAAATAATGATTCAACAAAAGCAGTTGACAGTGTGCTACAGTGCTGGAAGGCACAGAGCTGGGTGGAGGCCTATATTTGCATGAATTGAGGTCAATATGAGCCCTTGGGCTAGAAAATAATTGTGTCCAATTAACCTAACCTTTGCACTCCATGGTCTATTGGCAAATGACAAAACCGTTTGAAATGTGCACATCAAACGGACAGATAAAGACAGGCTGACCCTTTGATATTATTACAGATTACACAGGAAGTATCACAAGTATGAAATATCCAGTGTTTGTTTCATTTAAAAAAAAAATAATAATTCGTTCACCTGATTTAAGTCTTCGTCGTTCAGCAAATGTGATTCTCTGGGCTTAAAGCAGTTCTGGCATTTACTTTTGTTGAAAATGTTAGCTTGAAATTTCCGGCAAGGATTGTCTTTGAATGACATGGTTGATGAAAAAAAAAAAGGCGACACTTAATGAGAAAAAAAAAAAGTCCAAGAGGTCCTTGTTTGTTAAACAAAACTGCTCAACTCTCGCAGCCAAATGAGTTGGAGTCAACTTGCTGATGGCGGAATATAGTAATAGGACAACTTTCTAGAACAAATGGGTCAGAAGAAATAAACGTGAAGTCCATTAAGAAGGAGTAATGGTGCGTCGTTCACCTGTCCGAGGTTACCTGAGGCGGTGAATAACCTCTCGTTAAGTGATATCTATGATAGTCATCTCGCCTCCCGCAGTTAACGCTGACCTGCTAACTTTTGTTTTTGTGTACAAAGCTTACTAAGAAGTTGTCAAATGAGTCGTCGAAAGCAAGCGCGGACAGGTGTGCGCGGTCTTTCCCCCTAATTACGTCTTCCAGCGAGGTGTCGACGTATCGCAGGTGACATTCCGGGCCTCGAGCTCACTGCAAAGGTCCCGTCAGCCTCCATCGGGCGGAACGAGCTCTACCGAGGGAGGGAGTCCACTTTGGCCCCTCTTCTTCTCTCTCCCTCTCTCCCTCTCTTACTCTCTCCTCTCTCTCTCTCTGTCTATCTATCTATCTAACAAGTGATACCGCACTCAGTGCCATTAAATCTGCTTTTACGCTTCTACCGTCTCCGTTCAAGACCAAACACCGTTATCCAACTTTTAAAAACGCCATCGACTCGGCTGTCATTCCGCTGGGTCCATAGCGTCGGGTCCCGTTCGTCGTAGCACCCTTCTCGTTTGGCACTGTTACGCAGTCTGCGGTGGATGTTTTCGTAAAAAAATCCTCGCTTGGGCCGTACATCCAGTCGGTGGAGAGGGAGGGGAGGTGCTCGGGAGAGAGTGGAGCGGTGATTGACAGCAACCTCGACCAATCACACGTATTGGCACGCCCACAACCGAGGTCCTGCCTTTAGCTGTCCAATAGAAAACCTTAAAAAGTCTTCCAATACTTTCCCTCAAGCTAGGTGGGCTTTAAAGAGCCCATGATAACAAAAACTGACTTGTATGTGAGACTGTTGTGTTTTTAATATTAGCCTGAGCTAATATTTTTCATTGCAGACTGTAAAGGCAGGCTGTGGATCAATTTATTCAGGTTATCCTCTTTATTACCAGAGGTTATTTTTTATGTTTCTGATGTGCAAAATCCACAACAACAGGACAGGGAAGCAAAGAACAAAAAAAAGATAATATTTTGTCAGAGTATTTCTAATTCCTTCCTTTTTTCCAACACTGACAAATTGGTTGCTAAACAGTCTTTACTTGTTAAAGATAACTTATAGACAAGATAACACCTTGGTTATTGAACCTTTCATGAAGTGTCTCCATACAACAGTCTAAAGTCAACTATTACTACTAAAGTAGTACTAAACAGAACAAAACAAACAAATGAGATTAGGCTTGGCTAACAAAACCCCTCTACAGAAAATTCATCTTACATCTCAGATCCTGTGCAATAGGCCTGTCACTATTTCCTTGTGCAACAATGTGAATTCAACCCTTTGTTTGTTATTTAATATATCTTGCTTTTCTAGGATGAGGATGAATAATGAAATTTCCCACCGTGGGACTGATAAGGAAGTATCTTATCTAATTCTAAATGTTACCTGGCCATCATATTCTTGGGAATTACGTTTTAATACAACTGAGCAACTAATAGGTTTGATAAGACTAGATAAATAAATAACAGATGCAAAGTATGGATGTAATACTTTTAAAGATGATTTCATTTGCCTATCTGGCTGTTCTGTGTTGGGGCTGATATAGTAGGTTACAACAGAAGCTGGAGGCTATTTTTACACTACTACTACTACTACTACTACTACTACTACTGCACAACATTTTGATAGATACAAGTAAAGATAAGTAATGTCTCAAATATACTGCTCAAACATAAGCTTAAACAAAGTCTGGCATATGTTCATTTTAAACATTGAAAGCAATCCAGAAGTGATGCTTTGATTCCAGGCTCCAGAGCACCCTCTGTTGGTCTTAAATCTCCAATGGCTGCCTCCAAGACTGGGCCAAGTTTAAAGATGGAAAAATAAAAGAAGAAACACTTTGTACTAATATGTCAGAGCCAAATCAAATGGGAATGTTTGAGTTATGGATAACAGGTGAAGTTGAGTCAGGGAGTTTTGCAGTTCTTCCACCACGTGGCTGCTTTTATGAGTAAAAATATCATGTGTTACTCAGTGCTGTGATGTAATGAAAATGTCATGCTTTGCAGTGTACTGGTACACCACCTGTTGTCTTAACTCAGAATAACATTAGCAAATCTAATTTCTACAATTTAGCAAGATGTTATTAAGAGTCATGGAAGAGCTGTAGAACCACTGTAGCAGGTAAATGTGGAAACACTGATGTGCTTTGCTTGTTCCCTGCTTGCGTTCTTCCATAAAGCAGTTTATCTTAAGCTGTGCTGACTTGATTTTGACAGGAAGACTTCAGCTACTTCATGGTCACACTGGTTCTGACTGGAGTTTGCATGCTAAAGAAATGCACACACTGTACAGACAAAGTAATTATCATGAAGGCATCTATGCAGAACATAGACAAATCATCCATATGGAAGTTAAAAAAAAGAACACTGAAATCATGCAGAAAAACAGACACCTTATTGTACATACACAACCTCATCCATTCTGTCAATAAAAAGACATTCATTTGCTCAACTTATGAAGTGCAAGATTTTATTCAGAGCGCTTGAGGTGGTGTGTTGGGACAGCAGTATGAGGATAACATATACAATGTTTATCATAGCTAGTCAGGGGAAAACATAGAAAAACAAGTGTCAAATCATCTTAATTATTCCTTTAACGGTCTAATAAAGCACATTTCAGTGATTATTTAGTGACATAAAAATACAGTTCTCAAAAATCTTCAATCTCTTCAGTTTTGTGCTAAAATATTTGTGTAACCAGGAGACAACAAAGTGCCACTGAGTAACAAAAATATAATATCATAGTAACAATAACAACATGGGCGAAATGCATCCAGTTCTTGCTGTACCCCTAACGTGTATCCTTATGCATCTTGTAGTATGTAGTGTGTACAGTGTGTACATATATGTATATATACTCTCATGAGTAGAGTGAAAGCACAACAGCAGAACATTTTTAAAAGCTTTGCAAACTAAGATGATCAGGGTTGAGCTTAGGGTAGGGGGTTAAGTAATGGAAAGTAGTGGTCGTCCGATATGGCTTTTTCATTGACCGATGCTGATATTTAGAGAGCAAGGCTGCTGATGGCTGATATATAATGCTGATATCAAAACAAAGAAAAGTATTATTCTATGCTATAAGATAATTCAGGCATATGTTTACAGTAGGATGCATGACAATTATAGTACAAGCCAACTTTTTCACCACCTTCCCAAAACTCACAAAAGGGAGCCCTAACATTGTCCCACAGCAGCCACACTGACAATAGAGCAACAGATATGTCTGAAGACATTTTTTGTTTATCATCCTTATGAGCACAGACATCGGCCGATGTCGATTATCTCAAAAAGCTAGATAATTGGCCTTCCGATAAATCATTAATGGAAAGGTTGACTTTACTGGTAAATGTCGCAAAGTTCTTCATCAATCAACCTGTTGTCTGGCATCAAAGATGAACATGTTACTTTTTCTATACTTTTCAATTTTTGGTGTTCCATAAAAATGCATTTACAATGAATGGACATAAATTGTGCAAAGCTGAATAGTCCAATATGATCGCAATCCCAGGGGGAGACAGAGCTGACTTAGGAAAGACAAAATAATAATGTCTATTACTGAAGCCAAGAATATAGGTAATTTGAGTTCTCATGTTCATATCTGCTTTGAGGTATTATAAATTTAAACATTATTCATTACAATACCCTAAAGAAACTTAGTGGGAAACACAATATTGTGTCCCCTACAAGACGCAATTTATCCAGTTTTTTTGTGTCAAATGCAGAGAAATAAACATAAGGGATAATCGGAACATGACATGTGCTGCATATTAATAATAAGTTAAAACATTAGGCAGCGTTTAGAAGAGATTTGCCTTCCTCTTCATGTCATTACGTTTCCACAGTGGAAGTCTGTCAAATTCTTGTATATTCATGTCAAAGATCTGAAAGAATGAGTCCGGGGAGAGGTGACGCTGCAGAGGAAAGCAGGAAAGAATTAAGTTACTGGGACAATATGCACAGTGCATCTGTTGGTTTAATTCTTATTCCAAAATAAAACTCATTTTGTAGATTTGACTGAAAATCTTGTTTTTAAGGAAAACGGAAATCTTGCTACAAATGTCAATTTTCTTTTCATTATTGGTATCCAAGTGCAGAAAAAAACATGCAAAACAGTCAGTATGGAGTCAGTCATGTAAAAAAGAAGTGTCACATTGAAAAATTGCTTTTCTCACATGCCACTGTACCTCGAGTCTCGTTCTGTCAACATCCTTGGGAAGCTTCACTCGTCCTCTATTAGCAACTGTAAGCATTTCATATGGGTAGACCTTGACAAAAGAAAGACTGGTTGAGGATGCTTTGATTGATTATCACACATGCTACACCTAAACACAATCTTTTGTACACTTGTGCTGCGAGCTACGAGATGGAGTCAGAAAATCATGTGCCATGCAATTGTATAACTGCTGCACAGTTATGGATAGTTAGTACCAGCGCTTTAGCCTTCAGGGAAAAACATTCTGCTTCTATTAGCCGTTGTCAATTTACATGTTATTAGTTGTCCTTGAAACTTCAGCACTATCCTAGAGCTATTGAACTACTCTAGCAAGTCTATGCTAAAACTCCACTGGATTGTACTTAAGTATTATTTGTATGCATTACTGTTATAACTGCATGCAATCTTTTAAAGGTGCTTATAGACACAGAACATTTAGCAGTAAAAAAATTGGCAGAGATTTAAGTGGTGGCATTAATGTACAAATAATACTTGCTTCTGGTTCCAACAAATTAGGCATAGACACTCCTCTGTCCATTCTTGCTAATGGATGTTGACTGTCATGGATGAGCTACAGAATGAAGCAAACACATGCAATAGGAAAATGTCATGGCACGATTAGTCACTTCAAAGCTAAAAGCCAAATGACTGCAAGTAAAGTATATTATTATGTTATGTATTGTGTGCAATATGTATATATATTAAAGAAGAAGATCTGCAGGTCCAGCTTTGAATTGAAATGTATACTTCATCAAACATGCCAAAAGTGAGGTGACCTCAGTCCTTCAAACCAAACAGAGAAAGGGAGCATGACCAGGGAGATTCAAGGTCACATAGATTTCTTCTCACATACCTTAAAGTCTGAAAGACAGGGGAAAAGGTAAAGAACAAGAAACACAAATTAGTTTCTAGTGTTATCCAGTTACATTGTTGAGTTACAACAATATTGTTGTGATTTCCATGATTTTTAATAAAGATGTCTACACACTTACCACTGAATCTGTCACCATTGTAATGAGAGAAATCAGCTGACCGCGGCTTAATGAGAAGAAAACACATTAAAGCACAGATTTTTTTCCTGTTTGGTAAATTAAATAAACCTCATGCAGTTTCCTTAGTGTGTCTCTTCAGCTACTCAATAAAAACATAAAGCAACAAAGAGCTTCTTCTTTTACTATTTTGCAATTGTATCATATTGTGTCTTAACCCTTTATAGGGCACTCATTGAAATACTTGGAAATTTAAAATATATGGTTCCTCGCCTGATAAAGGGTTAATCTAAATTGGAAGTGATATATAATTCAATCTGGAAAGCTGGCGGGACATGTAATAGCATTACACAACAAAGCGAAAGAGAAAGTAATAAAGTACAGATAAAGGTATCGTATTGCTCTTACCGGATTGAGGCCATTGCGACCATATCCAGGCAAAGAGGATGTTTGGGATGTGGAGGAATTTGGATCTACGTAAAGTGAAATAGTAGATAGATTAGCTCATCGTGAGACGATTTACAGTTGGACTCTGCTCTTTGCCCAGATTAGATCAGACTTACTGGGTTAAGTATACCTTGCCCGGTTCTTTAATTAGCCATTTGCTAATTGTTCTGTAAAACGCACTTCTCAGTATATTGCTCTATTTTTATATGTACCTATACATTTTCCATAAACCCATGTTTGACATTTACACTCTAGTGAACAGATATTGATTAGATTAAACTAGCTTACAAACTGTTTACCCAAAGCTTACAGTAAATACCTTATACTGATTATATTGTAGTGAGCCCATTGATGATGTAGTTGTGGACCTTGGAGGGGTCAAATCCTGCTTAGGGACTCAAATAGTCTTTGGCTGCCCTGGTGTAACTAAACAAAGTTAACTGAGAGTTTTGAGATAATAATTTCTTTCATCTGGCAACACAAAGATATCAATGCCAACATCTCTAGAGAGTGGCTATAACTGAAGCCCTATATGAATGTTAATTTTTGTTAAACTTACTGCAGTGTATACATTTCATTGTATTTATCATAATATAATGATATATAATAAGTAATATTTAACTTTTAAAAGGTTATTTGAAAGGTGAGGTCATATTGTACCTTGCTGTTTATAAATCGGAGGCCTCTTGTACATGTTGAAACCTTCATCTGCAGACAGAAAACAATGCAGCATCAGCAGATAATTCACTCTGAAACATTACACAGCAGAACCAAAAGAATACATTGTTATTAATAACCTACTGCAGTGTCTCTGTGGCAGCAAGTTGCCAAATCCCTCATTTTCCCTTTCAGTGTTTTAAAATATTATTAATATGGAGCAACTCACGGCTCACTAAACTTACACAAATCAAGGTCTTAGGTTCTTAGTGGGTTGTGAGATATTTTTAGTTTCCACCTGCCAGTGATTGCTGGTCATTGCTTGTCATATTTCATCCACACACGATAAAACAGGCTTTAAAAAATCACAGCACTGCTATAAATAGGCATGGCTGTAGAGGAATGTCTGAGTGAAGTAGAGAACAGTCAAACCAGTTTTTATAAATAACTACTTTGATATAGATTTGCATAAAGTATTTTATTTCGAGCTGTGGGTGAGGTACGGTCAAGTAAAATATGCAAAATAGGAATGGAGAAGACCAGAATGTAAAGGAAGCAGCTAACAGGTATGTCTGTCTTCTACAGTAAACTATGATATGAAGGTAATGTGTGGGAGACTGCCAGTCTCTCTGAACTTTGACCACTAGATGGCTCAGTGTTTCTAAGAATAAAGTGAATCACATCTCTGTGCTATCCTTCTTTTTAATTCCAACTCTGACCCTTAAACCAGTTTGTTTTTAGTAATTTGGGTGTTGTAGAAATTTTTATTCTACCATTGCACTCACTACAGTTCCTTGTAGTTTAGAACATACTGGAAAGTGGTGGGTTTGCTATTAAATCTAGGCAAAGTGTTTGATAGGAAATATAAAAGATAAACTGTAAGGCAACACCAGGAAGTGGGGAAAGCATGCAGGAAAGCGTGACAGAGGAGCAGGGGTGCTTACCTTTGGTGTGAGAGAGAAAGTGGTGACTTAAAGGTGAAGTGGGGCAGGTGTCATTGTTGCCAGAGAATAAAGAGGGAGAAGGCGTCAACCCTGCTTGTTATTCCATGAAAGAAGTGGAAGGAGGAGGAGTTGTGGAGGTAGACGAGATAAAGGAAGGCAGTAAAACAGAGGAAAGTGAGCAGAGAGGGGTTAATATCTTTGTGATAAGAAGATTGAGCTCATTCACTTTAGAGCGCTCTTCTCACCTGGCCGGTGGAAGTGTTGTGGTGATCTGGACAGAGTTGGAGTGTAGCTATGGCGATTGTACGTCAAATGAACGCCGTGGCTTCTGGATTTCGGTACACACTTTCTCATTTCAAAACTCTCCTTGAAACAAGAAAGACAAAAAACCAGTCAACAATTCAAAACTAATTTGTGTGTTAAAGCCGATACAGCTTTCAATGAAGGGTCTGGAACATACTGCATGAGACCTGATGTTACAGTATTTCTATATAAGTCTGTTCTAACTAAATATTTACCTCTGTGGTGTCAACTACATTCCCTGGTGACTAAATTGGAAAGAAAGAAGAAGAAAAATCAATGTACAGACCACATAAACTGGTTGGTTACTTCATGTGAAAACTCTCCAAACTTGTCTAATATAAAGAAAAAACACCTTATGCAAATCACTATGTATCTTTTAAAATATTTTATAAGAGGAAAAATATTTTGAACACTCTGTAATCCTTCAACTGAATTGAAAAAATTACCAAACTTGGAGGTTTTCACATGCAGAAATACACATGAAAGGTAAGGAACAAAAGGATTGGATAAAGTTACATTTAGCTAATTATTTTAAGTTAGTTTATCTATAAAATGCTAAAAGTTAGCAGGGAGTAAGTATCATTAATACCTGCCTAGATCTTGACTTAGATATTTTAGCACTATAGCTCCAAAAACACACATAGAGACACATCTTTCCACTTTTCACAACACATGGCTTTGCATTTTGGGCCAACACAGTCAAATATCAGAGCAACAAAACAAGACCTCACTTGGTTTGACTTATAAATAAAACCAAGAAAAAAGCACTGAAACTATGACATGCAAAAGGGTATAACTTGGAGCATTGAATGATGTTACCTCTGCAGGGCTTTGCCTGTCCTGTCTGTTGCCTTTGTTGTCCAAAGTAGAAGAGTTGCCATTCACAGACTTATAAGATATCATATCAGGATGCTCTATATCATATATAGCCTTGACTCTGGGAATTGCCGCTAAGTCTCGGTAATCAATGATCTCATTATCTACTTTTGCCTGGGACCAGGACAGGGAAGAGAGAGGGAAGATGGGAGAGGGACACAGATGGTGGAAGATAGAAGAAGCAGACAGTATGGCTTAGGTCAGGTCAAAGGTTGATCATTACATCACTTCATGGAGGAATGAAACTTTAATCCCACAACACCACGATGGTTGGCCTGTTTCTGTTTCACAACATTGTTTCTCATGCTTTCAAGTATAAAAAAGGTAACTGGCTAATATTTTAAGGTGTTGATGGGGGGAAAGTTTATTCCACACAATAAACCAAAAGGGAATGGATCATAAAAGATTGGGTGGAGGGAACAAAAGGACACTGAAAGCACAAAGTTTTTTTTAAATAATCAAATACAATCTGAATTGCCAAAGCATTCAAATTGATTAAGCAAATGCATCTAAATTCCTGTTCAATATGTGGTTGATATTTTCAGCATATTAATGATTAAATTGAGAATATTTGCAGGCTCTTCAATAATCAACCAAAATTGAAATCCCATTTTTCTCTCACAAGCAAGAAGAAACTAGTTCCGACCAGTCAAGGTAAAGTAAAAAACAAATTTGGAATTGATTTAAAGACTTTAACTCTTTAATGATTTTCACGTTGGCTATTTTCCTAAATGTGTGTCTGCATTTACTGACAAAAAGAAACATCTGGCAAGAGAGACACTTTGTCCATGCGACTTCCCTGTGTAAATAAAGGATAAATGAAATATAAATCAACCCGTGGTGATCTGTGCACCATGGAGGATGTTACACAGATGTTGTCACCGTGAACTTACGCAGATAGTTCGACCAGGACTCCCTGGAGTGCATGAGCCCGGTCTGGAACAGGAGCTTTCAGATGAGGATCTAGTGGGCTAAGGAAACAAACAGCTATGTTAGTTTGACTCATAGGATGCTGAGAAATATCACTTTCTGCTTCAGCTCGGGTGTTGGTCGACAGCCTGCATCGTTTTCTCTCAATGTCTCTTCACTAGACACACAACTAGGTCCTCACATATGGTCTAAAAGGGTAAAAGCAATGACTAGGAATCATAATACAGCAGTGTACAATATAGACCTCGCATCAAGCAGTTTTTGTGAATTGTTTGATTGCAATTATTGCATTTTTAATGAGAAAACCAAATTTTTCTACCTTATTTTGTATCTAACAATGATATCAGTCAGACTTTTGTTTTGCATCAAGCTGTATTAATACCTAACAGTGATAGAACACATTGGTGTATAAACTGTGCAGGTACTAATAGATGGCAGGAAAAAACACAGCCAAGCGTGCAGAACAGTCAACAGTGAAGATGCAACATGTAATAATTATTGCACATAATACATAGCAACTGTAGAGAGGCTCTAAAAAGTAAAAGCTTATCTTATGCCAAAATCATAAGAAGGAATCTTTTTCTGTGTATCAAAAGCAATCTTCTTTTTGCTTCCTTGAATTGGCACACATGATCTAACTGCCAAGTGAGCAAAGTGTTCATGTTGCATGTAAGACAAGCGAGTGCAGTTAATCTCTGAACTTGATATTACAGCAATGCTCACTCTAGAAAAATCACCAGTGCAAAAGGCAAGCCCGGTCACAGTATTAACCTTCAGTTCATGTGGGGGGAAAAAGAAATCAAGACAAGGTGTTTTTGGTCTGCCGACCTGGGAAGGAAGAGAATGTGTAATGAAACAACGGTGTTCATTTGCAGAAGTTGTATGATGTTGTGTCATGTCATTGCCTTGATACAAATCTATGTACAATCTCTGTGCCAGAATACTCTTTAAATCACATGTCACACAGAGATCTTACCCTGTAACTGTCCTCAGTTCTGCTGCTGTCTCTGCAGTCTGGGTGCCAAACTGTGGATCCTGTGAAGGCAGGAACAGTTACCTGCTGCAGGCATTATGGTAAAAACATACAGCATGCCAAAAGAAATGCATATTTTACACAGCGAACAGAAAGTGGTTTTAAACAAACACTTTCATTGTATGCATTGACCCGAGCTAAAACCTATATCCCCACATGTGTGCATGTATATCCACATAGTTTTTTCAAACTGACCTTGCAGATACATTTCTTCACCTTCTTTGAACATTTCGTCACATCGGCTGCATCTTGCACAGGTGGGATGATAATGTTTGTTCCCAGCCTTAAGCAGACAATGAGAAAGGCAAAACCATCAGTCAGGCCTTAAATGTCCAGTGTGTAAGATTTAGTGGCATCTATCAGTGAAGTTGCAGATTACAATTAACTGAACACCGCTCACGTATGTATTTGACAACCTGTGAATGAGAACGGGCTGTGAAGTGTGTAGGTGAAACTACAGTCAGTGTTTGGTTTGTCAGTTTAAGATGGTGTCTGCAGATAAAAACAGCTCATTCTAAGGTAATGAAAACACAATGATTTCTATATTCAGGTGATTATACACTAATGAAAACAGTCACAATAGCAGTTTTGAGGAAAAAACGTCATGCAACTATAGGTAAAATCAGTCACTCTTGATTAAGAGTAAACATTTCTCACCTCGAGAACTTTTCCAGTGATAAACTTCTGACATGCTTCACATTGTACCCCAAACTGAATCTGGTAGTCCCTCTCACAGTAGGGAACGCCATCCCTGCAAGATACGACACTTGATTTAAAAAAAACTCTTATCTGTGTACTAGCTGTGATGGACACTAACATCATTTCTATTTCTAACCTTCTTGTTAGGAAAAAATACACTCAATTGAGGGGAGGCAGACAAAGAATTATAAAATTAGAGATTTGTATTTACTTGCTGATATATTCTCCGCTCAGCACTCTCCTGCAGGCTTTACACTTGAAGCAGCCAAGGTGCCACTGGCCACCCAGGGCTAACAGAGCCTGGCCATTCTTGATGTCTCTACCACAGCCAGAGCAGTCTGAAAACACACATACAATGTCATAAAGAATAACCATTCATCGAATTGACATGGCCATCTAAACATGGTCTTTCCTTTAAAAAACACATTTGTAAATTAAGTTTTTCTTGATTATTTCTGAATATAAATGTATGAACTGGATATTAAAGTAAAAGTACATCTGACATTACAGAACTATTTGAATAGCTGTGCTGTTGAGCCGGGACATTTTCTCTACAGTCCTGGAGAGACATCCTCTTAATCCTAAGGCTTTGTAAGTCTGGATCCTGTATTGAGCCCTCTCTTCTATCTATAGTTGTTAGGTGGATGAGGTCATGTTGGGGTGAAGAGTTGAGATCTACTCTCTCTCTTAGTCTGTACTGAGTCATCGATCTGGCAGGATCCCAGGAGGATGACAGAATTTCTAAGGAAATGTCGACTCGGTGTTGTAAAAAAGACATCCAGTGCACCAGGAGGAGGTTAGACTGGAATAAATAATAATAATAAATCTGGCTAAATGCAGACACTGTTTAGCCTGCATTTAGCATCCTTACATAGTTAAATACACACATATAATCAGATGTGTCACCTGCAGAATAGTGTAAAGACTTTATCTCCCTATGATGAAGGAGGCTGGCAGATGTGACACTGGCCTTGAATGACTCTTAAGCAGAGGCTGAACTAAATCAAAGGCTGGCATAGGAGCCACAGCTGGCCAATGTTCACTATAATCCACTGCCTGATTATGTCTACATGGGATGAAAGTCTCTGATCTATTTTAAAGCTTCATTAATAAATATTTTTGATATGAAAACTGGCTCAGATGTTCTTGCCCAGAGAGTAAATATCGGCAAGAATGCGCTTACTACTAGGATATCTGATGTCGTTAGGAGTAGGAGACACAGGTCGAATACAGCGCTGACAGAGGCAGTCTTTTCCACTGAAGGTGACACAGTCCCCAGCAGGAAAGGCCTGTCTGAGAAACACAGAAAGAGACAGAGGTATACCACACAATTCTTTGTATAGTTACAGTTATTCTGCCTCCGAACATGTTTGCATGAGTAAAACTTACTTGCAAAGGGTGCACACAAAGCAGGCTGGGTGGTAGGTCTTCCCCAGGACTGTTACCACCTCTCCCTCCACAAATTCGCCACAGTTGTTGCAGAGCGTGCCGTGAAGCCTCTGGAAGTCCAGTGGGCAGAGGTAGTCGCCATTCTTCATGAAGAAGCCACTCTGAGCCAAGTCACAGCCACACACTGCACACACACAGTTATACAGGGAGAAAGGAATGGCAAGGTTATATAACAACAGAAAACATTAAAGCTGCCATGATAACATTTTTTTGCATTTTTTTGTATTCTTTTGGAAAGAGCTTTGGGTAAAGGTATTTGTAAGTTTTTATTCATGTATATGTTTAATTTCTATTTCTTTTGGTCAGTAACTATGAATTTACAGTTTAAGTTGTCACCTTTTTCATTGTCATAGTAGTAAATTAATAGCCATCATATAATCCATCAAAGGGAAGATGAGAGAAATGCTATTTGGGCTGTCTGACCTTATGAGTCTGCCAGAGTTTCTGAAGTGTTTATGTGTTTGCGTGCATCTCTTGTGCATCTGTTTGCTGATCAGCCCAGTGACAAGTTACTGACATGGAGGCAGTGTTTTCCCTCAGCTTGTTTGGAGTCATTTGATACCACCCAAACCATTTCCGACAGTGTCCCTCTGAACCTGCCACAGTCCTGCCACAACACAATGGACCAAGATGCCAGAGACAGATTTATGTTGCTCTATTCCGGTCCTACTGTGACTCCCTTACAATTCACATGGATATTATTCTTAAAAGCATTATTTTAAGTCTGAATAAAACCTGTACAAACATGTGCTTACATTCTACTACATTCCTTTGATCCCAGAGATTGTTTCATGACATACAAATAGCTTTAATGAAAACCAGATGAATTTTTACTTATCTGGTGATGTACATAAATAAAGAGTCCCTTCTATTAGGCTGCTTTTATACTCATCCTCCTTTTTATGTACCTTTAACATTACTTTACATCACATGTGTGTCACTAAAACTAAAAAGAGGTGTCATGTAACCTTTGCTAATGTTGCTATAGCTTATTTTAATTAAAATAAATTCAAAAAGTCTTATTTAGGGAAGTGCACAGACCCCTTCGATCCCCAGGTCTTCCCACTGACCAATACTGTGGGCTTCTCTGCCCTGAAAGTCTCTTTGTTTGCTCTGCGCTGTAAACACCATCACAATGGAATGAAAGGGCAACAACACGAGAAGCTTGTCAGTTTTGATTAGTGGGGAAAATGGTCGGCTGAAGAAATATGTTTTCCACATAACAGAGTAACTCTGGTGAATATGACAACACCTAGGAGGTTCTCACAACAGCCCATTGTAAATGTGGAATGTTTTGTAATAAATTGTTTTTGATGGTTAAACTAAAAACTGAAAAGAAGGTTTTTAGGCAGCATTATGGGTCAAATGTCACTTGCGTTACTGCTTGCATGTTAAATTGTTCAAATGAGAAATTAGTTTAAATTTAAATCAAATCCCACCACAGAGCCAGTAGATGAATTGTTAGGCCTCTGATCATAACATGCTCAAGACAGAATTTATCTCCACTCCACATGAGGAATTCCTTTCACTGGATTGCTCTCAAGTTTTTCTGATAACATAAGTCTATTCTGACTGAGGTGTGAGTGCAGGACGCTTCACAAGTGCAGCTGCATCTGCTCACACTGACATATTGATGGTACTCACCCTTGCAGGTAAAGCACTTAATGTGGAAATGGCTGCTCTGGACTCGCAGCACCTCTCCCTTGCATGGCTCCCCACATCTGAAGCACTGGATGATCCGCTTCTCCCCTGAAGGACTTGGGTGGCAGCCATTCGGAGTACGTAGCACTGCAGGAGAGGGTAGAAATCGTCAAATTCATTATCATTATTTTACATTATCTGGGAACTATAAATGTCTGTCCAAAATCCTGTACCAATCCATCTGATAGATGCTAACATATTTCACTAAAGAAGAGGAAATTATGATCTGTTGGTTTTGCCACAGGAACTGGGAACCATAAATGTTTTTACAAAATTACATTGCCATCCCTACAGAAAAATATGCTCATTTTTACCAGCTTATATCCAAACATTAAATGCTCAGCTTGTACACGTACACACAGTCCGAGTGTAAATCCAAGATTAGCTGCATTTACACATTTTCCAATACTTGAAATTGAAAGGTCTAAAGGGCTCTCTCATCCATACAGTAGCTTTGTCCTGTTCTGCCTGAGCAGATGATTACAATAGGCTACAATAGTCCTTCAGAAGTGTCCTGTCAGTGCTTACATAACTGAACATATAGACACGCTTTGCTCTGACAGAAACACTAATGCTCAGTCATGAAGCTCACGAAGAGCTCACGAAGAAGCCATTATTTCTCTGTGATCTCCCAACAATATCAGTGAGAATATTCCACATGAGTGTCAGTGCCAAACTTTGTCTCGTACTATAGCAAGACAGCTCAATCTTTCTCTTTCACGTTCATGTGGCATGGTAGCCGAAGCAGACAGTGGATGCCTGTACAATCTAATCACAGCCCACTTGAGAGGTCTTGAATGTGATTAGCAGAGGAGAGAGAGGAAAGAATGTGGCGTGCTGAGAACGCTTCGTCTCCTATTGTGTGGACACGTAGCATACAAATAGATGAACTGACACATGAGCTCTTCTTTAGTTCTTTTTTCATATACAGCTGGCCACAGAAAAATCATAACAAATTCACCTATTAACCAAGTAACGGCTACAGTGAAAAATACACCTCAAATAACCCCAGCTACAGGGATGTCGAAACAGAAAGATTTCTTCACATTTACTGGAAGGGTAAGTGTTTTTTTAACTGTTCCGACTACCCAACTCAGCCTCGTGAATACTGAGAAAATTTAGTCAAGCACCTTTGGTATGTGGCCCCAACTCTGCCCCACAACACAAGAGATTTGTCACCATGGTAACAAGTATGTAAACTAGATTAGGAGCCCATGCTTCCCAAAGGTGAATATAAAGTTCACTGTAACTGACTGAAGACAAACCAATGTGTACATTATGCAGTGTTGTGGAGATTATAAACTTCCACTATAGGCCAGCTGCTGTAATACTGTATTAATGATGAAAAGGTGTTCATCTTGTATGTGACAGACTATCCACAATTTAAAATCCCGGAAAAATCTAATGAGTAAGAAATCTAATAAACATCAACTTCAGCTTCAGAACTGGCTTGTGAATTTTGCAAGCAACAAACAATATACATTTCACTGTAACTTTTCATAAAGGCATCAAAGCAGTATGGTCATACTGAAAGGCTTTGATTATAGTCATCCTTTGCTAATTATTTCTGCCAGTAGGAGAGCAGTTGAAGGACATTGTGTGATTGTAATGGCATAAAATCAAATCTAAAAAAAATCATGTGAAAATAAGTGTTATTTCGGCTAACAAAATCACAGTGGGAATGTAACCCGTCCTTTTGGCCAAGGCTTTCACAACAATGACTGAAAATCCAGCCAAACTGGCCTCTGTCCTACAGCGCCTCAGATATTTGTTAATGACAGAGCTGTGATGCCAACACAAATCCATGCAAGCTATTTGTCATGGGGAAATTACTGCTACAGTTTAAAAATGTTTGAACATTTATCTTATTGTACACTCGCTGTAAGAGAAATACAGACTATTCTATGTTGTATTGTGTACATACAGTACATACAAAGGTACAGTGCAGTATAGTACAGTATGTGTGTGGTATTACCCTGTATACCTTTTATATACTTTTTGTTTTCACTTTTGTGTAAAACTGGTGTGTAGATGGAAATATTTAAAGAGTTGCTGCATGTCTTCCACTCTTTCTTGATCTCTCCCAGAATGTGAAGCTGATATGGTGTTAAGTATTAGCGAATGGTAGATTTAGAAAGACAGCAAATGGAGGGAAACCTGAGACAGACAGCTAATCACACAACTCACTATCTCCAGCTATGAAAATCTGCATCTGTGTGTGTGTGTGTGTGTGTGTAAGGAGGAGTGAGGGAATATCTATAATAAGTATCCAGAATTTTCGATGTAGTACAACTGATTCTATTATAATGTAAGTACAAAGTAATGGGATGTAAGTTATACTAAAGCACATTTAACCATCCAATATAGTATAATGAGGTCATATAATTACATTTGTGTGGCCTACAAGCTGCATTCGGTCATGCTATGTTTGTTCAAAATCTTTTTTAGAATATTTTGCTGCCTTCACTGGGCGGTGTCACTGTTAATAAATAAATAACTTTGGTAAAGAAGAAGAGGTAAAGGAATGAGAGTTTTCTGATTTAAAGCTTTTAGCAGCCTTTAATGTTTTTTAGGTGCAAACATTTTTTGTAAAATCCAAGAATTACATGAGGTCATGCACCTGCGGGAACACCTAGTTTGCCAAGAACATAATGGAATGCCATTTTTCATTCACTAAAGCTTCACATTTAACTTTTCCTAACTAGAAATTCAGAATTGCTGAAGGTCATTAACTGTGAAATGTAAAATGAGTGTAAAAGCTCAAATAAATTCACTTCTATTCAGTAGCAGTGGAGACATTTCTTTAGGACATCCCACTACAGGAAAGGAACAATGGAAAGTGGCAGGAGGCTTTTATCTGAACAACCACTAGTTTAGTGAAATGAGTCAGAGTATTTTTTTTCCACAGCAGTTTACCAAGAATAGACTAAATGCATTCCCTGTGGCTGAAAAAATAGAATAATCAGGGCAAAACACTGCTTGATTCAGAGGTATTGCTAAATCACATGCTGGTCTTACCTAACCATGATACTTTACGATTAGTTGTAACAGCTGTGCTTGCACTTTTCCCCACTTGGCTACCACTGTTTTTATTTCTAAATGCAGTTTTTAGATTTGGGAACAGTTTGAGAATCTTAAAAGGTCAAAAGTTATAAAAGTATAGCATAAATTAACGGAATTTTGTTGTCAGAATTCACATACCAGAGCTTTTACGTATCAACCAAGCTTTGCCAAATTACTGTTGTAGTTTAAACAAGATTTAAATGCCACCTCACATAGAAAACCAAAAAGATTGAAACCACAAACACAGCAGACAATTTGAAATATACACATGTGAGAAGTAATAAAGTTGGCATAATAATGTCTCACATTGTCATTGTTCATTTTCTTTGACAAAAATGTAATCATGAATGAAGCTCAGAGACTATTTGGCCTGACAGAAATGGTGTACTTACATAATAGCAAGCCCCTAACAAAATGTAAGTATGTAAAGACAAACAATAGGCACAAACAGACACACTTCACGCACACTCATACTCACACACACGTCTTAAAAATATCTACCTTTCTCTTTCATGACAGTTGGTTTCTACACGACTGTGGGAGCGCTGGCTGCATCAGAGTGAGGAGAGGAACTAACTGGACTGCTGGTCCCAGGAATAAAAGGGGGTGGTCCAAAACACAGAGGGCAGGAGTGTGTGTGTGTGTATGTGTGTGTGTGTGTCTGTTGAAGTGGCATTAAGTGCTCTTGTGCTTCTGAACCATGACCTCCACCATGCTGAGAGAGAATATTTGAATATTTGAAGTTGGACATGCATTGCTAAAATATGTCTCTTTTCTAGAAAAGTAATGCTGATAATATTATTTGTGTATCTGTGATGGGAGTCTTGTTGAGTACAGATGGCTCAGTGATTATATTACCTGCTGCCTCTTTTTTTGGAACTTGCAAACTGAATATATGTATATTGTCTATACACATAAGCTTCTTTAGTCTGCATGGTCTGTAATCACAACCATTTAACATTGACGAGCTTATAAATAAGGCACAATATTGACTGTGTGACCAAAGGTGATGGGCTATTATAAAAATAGAGGGAAATGGTCATATCTACCAAATACATTCTGTTTGATTTAAAAGAGGCTAATTGTGTTTTAGATGCAAATGCAAAGTATTTATGTTTGTGTAAAGGCAGCAGAGTCTGCTGAGACAATGTCAACATGCTTGAATCAAGTCTAGATGAGTTAGTTAGTTAGCACAGTCGTGGATATTGATGTCCATATTGTCTGACTGACCAAAAACCTTCAATATTAGCTACGATTATTAGCTATACGAGCTTATAAATTACGAACTGTGGTGATGAATATTGAAGCCAATTGATAGCAGACAAAATCTGTACAATCCCGTGCTTTGTCTAAGAGCTTGAGTTCTTGTTACTGCATGAAATTATTTTAAATAGAAATTAAGCAGGTTAGCAGGTGAATCTCATTGAAATACATGAAAAACCTGGTAAAATTCAATATATTCAGAGCATGTTAAATTGAATCAGTATTCCGCCTATTCTCTGTTGGAAATCTATAGGTTTTTGTGTCATATGCAACATCTACAAAACATTTTATGGCTAAATTATAGTGCGTGATAACAAATCATTAATATAAAAACGTATCAATAACACATCAACCACATATGGAAGTAAACTATTCATTACCTGACATCTCTGCAGGTATACTGGCCAACTTTTCACACAGGATGTAGTCGTTGGGGTTGAGAAACGGCAGCTGCTCCATCATGGACTGTTTGGGAATAAGGTAGAGAACCTCTGCTATTTCACCATCTTCAATGATTGACATTCGCCTGACGGAGTTCTTCCTCTTGACCCGGTCCAAAACGACCATTTCATTGCTGTGACTGGAGCCGCAGATCTTGCCCAGGCTGCTGAGGTTGAGGAGGCCTGACATGCTCATGCTGTCGAGGCTTTCAGCCAAACAGTTGAGGCTACAGACCGACTGCAAGTGAGAAACCATAAAGCAAACCTCAAGATGTTAAAGCCCTCTGTTAAATGTCAGGCATTGAGACCTTGTAACTGACTCAGCGTGTGTGTGTGTGTGTGTTGTCAGTCAGGCAGGCAAAGACTAACTCCTACCACACGCCCCTTAAGAAGATTAAGCAAGGTATATTTTTAGGGTTTATCTTCGTGGTAAACACAGGATCTGAGCTCAAGGAAGTGTCCATCAGGTAACCTTGTTCCTTGCATTCCAGTGACATTTACATGGGATTCATCCTTCTAGTAGTCTGGTGATAGAGTCACTCTTTTAGGAAGATTATGAGCTACTGTATCATCCAGTTATGTATGCAGTTATATTATTTAAATCTTCAGTCAAAGTCAAGCATTTTCTATCTGTTCTTTGGTTGGATTATGACTGAACCGTACCAGCAGAACACAAAATAAATCATTTTCAGGAACCTTTTGTGACCCTCCATCTGCAGCTATTGTTCATGTAATGGATTTTTTTTTTCTCTCTCTCAGTAATCTACTGTGTTATTCAGCATTGACTGCAGTCTTTTTTGAATGCTTAGCTTCAGAACAGGGAACTCTCCACATTTAACCTGGCACAGAGTCGGGGACAAGAGGTCGGCACTCTGAACCTGGATCTTTAGAGTAATCGTTGTACTAAAGTATTTGAGGACTGCAGCATTATTCAAGGTCAGACAGGACGTCTAGATCCGTTTAGGCACTGTCTAATTTGCGTTTCGTCTAATTTCAATTCTAAAAAGCATTCAGGTATTCACAGTATGTTGACCGGAAAATGTGCAGAAGTTGATTAGAAGCACAAGCTCAAAGATCTACCAGGAAAAACAGCTTATCAACATAGATCACATTTTTTAAGAGCAGTATCATTTTAGAGAATGAGTTTGTGCTCTAACATTTTTACTTGGTAGCAGCTAATTTTTAATTTTATTTACAGAAATAAATAAATATAAATTAAATTAAATTGACAAAAACAGCAATATGAGTTGGCACAAATGGTACAGCAGGAATGTGTACAGGCATAAGGCATAAAGACTATTCTTCAGGTCAACAATGTGATAACATTTCATTATATTACAGAGGAATAGGTTTACAGGTATGAGAGGAAAAATACTTTATATCTAAAAATGTGTTGCATTCACATGCCGCCATATTTGTCTATAGGTTTTTATATCCATTCTGCAGTTGTTGACAATATGGTGGATGTGGTATTAAGTACTGTTATCATGACTTCCTCCTCCAACATACCCACACTGACTTAAAAAAGGTTTCTGATATATAAGAATTCAGTTACAAAGAATTTAGGTAACTAAAATAGAAGGTTGAATATGGGACAAACCTGAGGAGCTGAAGTAAACTATTGGGACCAATACACAATGGTGGACTTACGATCCCATGCTCACTGCATAAACTGTAGTTTATCCATTGCAGACAAATGTGTAACGAGCTCCACCTACTGGCTGCAATGTGCTAAAAGTGCTGTGCTGAGTATTCATAAGAAAATCACAGTAGTCAAGCAGGTCAACCTTACATTGCAGATTGTACCTTACTTTTACAGTTCAAGTGTTGATCTGACTTTTTGTAAAATGATTTAACATTTTATTGTGTGTGAATGCTATTTCTTATTGGTTTTGTTTTTCATTTATATGTATTGTCTGTCATGTTAATTGAAAAAACATAGCTATTGCAGAACCTTACTAAAATTTTAATTTATTTGGAATTCAACATTGACATTGTCTTTTACAGTAATATGGAGAACTTCTTAGTAGCAAACACATCCAGTGGTTAGGGAGCAACATTATCATTAATTTGAAGTTATGTTTCTCTAATATTAATTCTCCTTTTAGCTCAGTTTCTGGTCTCAACACACAGAGAAATATCAGTCTGTTTAGCTGCTAAATGTTTAACTGTGTCTGTCTGCTGCTTGGTGCTAAAAAAGGTAGTGTACAGTGGATTTTTTTTGCTGAAAACAATCCTATGTAAGAAGTGAGAGTGAACCAAAAGGACAGATAAACAATGATCTGAAACTCAGCATAAAGCAGAGGGGAGCTGCAGTCACATTGTTTCCGCATTGTCATTTAATACATTTCTGAAACAAATATCGATTGTAGCTGCTTTCAGTACCCTGTGTGGGTGGTAAACTGTTGCAACTAGTGTAACTGTGCCCAATACAAGTGGATTCCCTCTGGTACTGTAGGATATGTTTGAATATTCCAATGCAAACACTTTTCATGTCTCATCAAATGAAACTAAACCAGGCTGTGATGTATCACAGATCACAAGCACTTCCATAATCCACAATCAACTGGATGGCACCAAGCAAACATGTAGGCATAAAGTTTATTTTTTAGATAAGTAGCAAAGATCACACGATCAAAAAGGCAAACAGCTTTTTAATTTAGCTGTTTTGACAATGTAAGTAGATCAAATTCCCTTCTTCCAGAACATGGTGAAGTCTCTAACAATGATCAACACAGAATAATGAGGACAAATATTTCTTTTTTTTAAAGACAAAAAATCATAAAAACACATTTTTATTACTTGCCTTTTATCATGATAAAACATTTATTTACAGTCAGTGGCAGTTGATAGCTTGGTGTTGATACAATCAACAATAATGTCATATAATGTATTAATACTATTTGAGTGTAAACAATGTTTAACGGGGATTTATTGTGATTCATTAAACTGCTCAATTACCCGCTGTAACAACCGCAGACAAATGTGGTTTCAGTGAGGTGTTCAATTTAAAAAATGGTACATATATAAAAAAAAAAAAAAAAAAAGACAGAAATATTCAAATTTGAGGGAACAAAACTTAGGAGTTGATAGAACGAGATCCGACCGCGTCGTCCTCGTCCTCATTTTGCTCGTCCTCTCCCTGGTTGAGCGGCTCCCTGTCGGAGTCTCTCTCTGCCTGCTCTGACCTCTTGGTTGTCTTGTTCAGGGTCCCGCCCTGTAAAAAAAGAAATATCAGCTGACACACCTGTATGCGCAGCACATATATAAAGTGGTATACAGGAAGTCTGCGAGGTGTCTGACCTGTCTGTGGTCCACAATGTTGAGCAGCACTGAGGTGACGATGCAGCCGATGGTGTTGGCCAACATAAAGATCATCATCCTCTGCCAGCGCCACAGCGGGATTTTAGTTTCACTGGCCGGGAAAACGGGGAAGGTGAGTAAAATACAACATACAAAATGGAGGATTGTGTATTCAATAAGGTTCTAATCTGAAGTACTTCCTACCTCGACTTGGTGCCCAAAATCTGCCCAACAACCAGGTTGGACACCCCAATCCCAACCATCTGTATGGAGGTGGCCAGACCCATGGCTGTTCCCAGAGTCGCCTGAGGTACCACGAGGGGAATAGACGGCCACATGCTCGCCTGGAATACAACACAGATGGTTTAAATCAAGACTCATGCTTTTCCTGAAAATGAGACACACGAGAGACCTCTGTATAGAACCTTAAACATATCATCAATCTGAAGGTCAGAACAGACATTTCATCATGTTCAACATACAGTAACGGCTGTGAGAGTTTTTCTGTGCTCACTAAAAATCGGCTTTTAAGGGGCGGGCCTACGAGCATGATTTGTGACAGCAGAAAGTCAAACCTAGTCCAATTTGCAACTTATACAAGTGTAATGTAGAAACTTGAAGCCACCAGTACATATACACTGAGAATGGACTTTACAGTGATGTAGGAGTCAAAATACATTTCAGACATACATTATTGTCTAACACATGTCTTTATATTTTAGTGGATTGAACACAGACTGAATTACATTCTACTTTTACTCTATTCCTCTATTTTAAGAACTTGGGGTCTTAGGGTACTTTGAAGTAATGTTGTTTCTCCCAATCAAGGATTGATTGGGGGAGGATTCAATTTGTTTAAATTTATCTGCAGACAATATACAACCTCTAATATAAGATTTCAAAGCATCCCAGATTATAAGTGGGCATTCTAAACTCTTATGACTCCAAAAGTGTTGATATAATCCATACAATCTTAATTTATTTAAAACATTAACTAACCATGGATTACATGAAATGTAATGTGTGTAGCATTCTGGTAAAGTCAAACACAACAGTGACTGATGTGACAGAATTATTACATTGCATAAATGCTGTCAGTTTTGAAACATAGTGAGGCGAAACAAATCAATTCTAATTCTGTTGTGTTATAGTCAGAACTAATTTAGACATATTGATTATTGAGTAGTCTTCCATAGATGAGCGTATATGAATTCATTACACAATTAAAATGCTCACCACCAACAAATATTATAGATAAAATGATTTAGCTGAGAGAAAGTGGATGTTGACTTTGATCTGAACTCACAGCAGCAAATGAGTAGGTGACTCCCAGCCATATAGTGGAGACGAGAGGAGGGACAAAGGTGAAAGCCAGGAGTCCAAACACAGGCAGCGTGAGGACGGCACAGGCCCCCGCAAAGATGCCCCTCAGACCTACATAATCCTGGAACAAACAGAGGAGAATGTCACACGTTACACCAGTTTACCTACTTATTTCATACTGCTTCAAACGACAGACTTTTGATCAGGTCGAGGTTACAGATACTTACGATGAGAATGCCCACGCTGGCTGAGAGGACCAGTGAGCTGTCATAAACCGCCCCGGCGATATATGCCGCCTCTTTCTGACTGTAGCCGTTGTACTTATCCTGAATGAACTTACTGTAGAGGGAAATACAGCAGTATGTTAATGATTATTTTAATTATTTATTTGTTAACAATGGAAATGTCTTCTGTCACTAAAGGTCCAACGCTGTTCGATTTATTATTTGTCATCATTTGGCCTAAAGAAGTCCCAGCTAATAGAATCTGTATCATAAAGATAGCACAATGCTTGTGTTGTGTGTTGACAGCTCTACCTGGCATCTGCGATGAACGGGAAGATGCCGTTGTAGAAGAACATGATGGTGAGGACCAGCAGCCAGTATCTTAGCGACAGGAGCCTCACATCCTGAATCCTCTACACATACACACACAGAAAAAAAAAAAGATTATTCAGTCAATCACTTCAGGACAAACCCTACCGAACAAAGAAGTTATTGAACATTAACAAAACTGAGGTCAGATAATGTTCATACCACTTTGCGGGACTCCTCCTGGATGGCGCCATCAACGCCCAGCTGCCTCATCCCGATCTTGTCCAGGGTACTGACAATAATGGCGGATATAAAGCCCAGCACACACAATAGTGCACCTAGAAAACATTGTGTAGCATGGGAATAATACTCTCTTTTTATAACATTTTGTCATTATTCAGCACTCAAGGTTTCTATCCCCTCTCTACCTACCACCCCAGAGGGTCCACTGCATGCCATATTTTTCTTCAAATTTCTGGGTGAGGAAGAAGTTCAGGACTGAACCCAGGCGAGAGAAAGCCAGGGTCAGACCGAAAGCCAAGGCCAGCTCCTTTCCTTTGAACCAGAAGGCTGTGATGCGGTTCTGAACAACTAGTAAGGAAGCAAACCAGAGAATAGCTTATTAACCACTGAGTTGACAGCGCAAAGAGTATGGAAGTGACGTCTGCGAGGTGGCCTTACTAGTCAGAGATCCATTGCCTGATCCAAACAGTAGTCGGCCTGTGAGCATAAGTGGCAGCAGATAGGGAGTTCCTTTGAAGTGAGAGCCCAGTGCAAACAACGATGAGCCCAAAACACACAGGAAGGAGAACAGAAATACTCCAACTGCAGAGAGGAGGAAAACGCAATCAATTTACCACGAGATACCATAACACAGCTGTTTTTATGTGCAGATAAGATATATGTAGACCTACAGCGGTTTCCTAACTTGTCAATCAGGAACCCGGCCAGGACCACCACTACTGCATTCCTGTTGATAGGAGGGAACAGTAGCAACTGTCACTGTTGTCTGATAAAGCCATTTTTCAGTATTATTACAGCAGGGTCAATGTGTGTGTGCTTACGTCCAAGCATAGATGGCGTAGAGAAGATTGTACTGCTGAGGGCTCATCCCCAATCCTTCCACACAGTCCACTGTCCCATTGATCACTGTTGCATTGGGACATGTGAGGTTCTGTCAGATAAGGGGATGTTATTATTGAACTAGCCACTAAGTAACAGACTTCTTTGACTAAATGTTGACCAAATTAAAATGAGCAGGTTTAGTTCACGTGGAAGGAAACATTTGATACTGATTAACTAGCTCTTACTTACCCCTTGAAACTGATCCTGCAAAACACTGGGGATGTCAAAGCAGAAGTAGGAGCCGAACGTCAGCAGGCAGTTGAAGAACAGCACCATAAAGCGGTAATACACTGTGAAAAGAACATAAAGGACGAGATACCAACGCCTCTGAACACTTCAGTATTTAACATGTAGTCATAGCAGCACACACAGTTTTATTGAAACTTCAACTGAATTTAAGTTCTACAGAAGATATTCTAACCATAAAACATGACTCTATGAGTACTCTGCTGCGTCTCCTTTTAATTATTGGCTTCAACACAATGCTTATGAACAGATTCATTCGCTGTACAATCTGTAAAGACATGCTTTAAGACTAAATGTTCTGCTTCCAATGATAATTTGTGTCAGATATTACTTTTACACATAGAAACCCTTTCATTCTGGAGAGTCAAGCAAAGGAACAATAAGAAAAAACAGTGGTTGAAGAAGTACTTAGATCACAGTGTAAAAATACTCAAAATCATCAAAACAGACCAAAAGTAGAAGTACACTGTAATATAGCAGTCGGTAAGTTTAAGGCTTTATATTTTGTATTAAACTGCAAACTAGTAACTAATGTTGTGAACTAAATGTAATGGAGTACTGAGTACAATATTGGCTTTTACAATGTAGTGGATTAGAAGTATCAAGTACCATAAAATGGAAATACTCAGTAGTTGAGCCCTGCTTTTATACATTTAACTCTGTCCAATGGGAACCCTCGCTTGCAGCTCACTGAACAGGAAAACAGGCTGTTTGTGTGAAGAACTAACGTTAGTTAATGGTGGTAAATGATTCAGCGAATGAAAACAGACAATGAGAGAGTAAACCAAACCAAACCATCCTCAAGCAACTTCCCATTTAGTCACATGAGTTTATCTAACGTTACCGACAGTAAAATGCTGACTTGGTCGTTTAGTGGCCCTGTTTTTCAGGGAAGTAACGTTATATGGAGAGTTACGAGAGAACAGGTCTGTTCCTCTGGTGAAGCTGCATTTTAAAGTCGTTTTTTTGGAAATAAATCCTACCTTTCTCTGCCGGCTGCGTCATAGTGAGCAAACAAAAGAAAAGCGGTTAAAAAAAAAAAAACTTTTAAATCACATTCTTCAGTGTTGTTTACATGAACAGGCTAGTGTTAGCAGGCAGCGTTGAGGTCCGCCACCACTCGTGTTGACGTCCGCAGACCGCAGATCTTTAAACTACATGGATCGATCTGGTCTCGTGTCAGGACGCAGCGGGTTGTTTGGAAATCTGCGCACGCAGCGACACTGCATCCGGCCTGAATACCTTTGTGGGATTTATCTTTTTTCACCCAGAAAACTTTATTGGTGAAAATTTCTAGGTCTTCATATTACATTTTCGGTAAACATTTAAGTAGAATAATAAAATAAATGAATACATTAAAGGTATAAATTGTTAAAAAATGTAACTGCAACAGTGTTTTATTGTTTTTATGTAATTTCAAAAGAGAGCAAGGAGGGGGAAATTAAACAAGCTTCAATACACATTTGTGACCTTTCCATTAAATCATAAAATGTACGGTGAAATAATATTTGATTATATTGTATTTTATTTATTAGATGTGTGGGCCACATACTGATGGTCTGTAGTCCACCTGGTGACAGCTGCTGTGTCTCTCTCTACCTTCTGGTGTTCTAATTAACAGTGGTGGAAGTACTTAAACCTTTTACTTAAGTACAAATAAAAATACAGTTACAAGTAAATATCCTACATTCAAAATCTTAGGCCTATGAGCAGTATTAGGATTTGCATTAACATATACTGAGTAAAAGTAGGATAGCCCATTTCAGAATAATATATATATAATAATGATATAGAATATTGTATTATAATGTATGCACATTAATGTATCACTAATTTAATGCAACTGGTAATGGAGGGATTAATAATAATTACTTTATATAGAGTACTATAGGTAGCTTAAAAACATATAATAATTTATTAGTTTATTTATATATTGTAATAATGATCTTCAACATCTAATTAAAGGCATATAATCTTCTCTTTGGTCGTTTTTATTATAAAAACTTCTTTTTTAAAGGGTTACTGGGGGTAAAGTATGGGCGACAATGTATGTAGCGCGTTTTTTTAATCTTTTGTCCCTCAGCGGCCACCGTCGAGGTGATCCAAACATTGCTGTTCCACTTTAAACTTCCCAGCGTTGCATGCGTTGTGTGCGTGTCTTTGAGGAGTTTCGGAGGTGTTTGAGAATGCGTTAAACACGGGAGATGTCTGTGCTGCGCAGAGCGAAAACATGGGAAATATCTGAATCTGAGGGAAGCGACTCGGAGAGCAGTCAGACAGTAACAGTCACAACCCTCCCATCCTCACCCACAAAGAGCGAGGCCAGGCAAACCTCTGCTCTGTCCCCCCCGCGACCAGATGGACGAGGTACACCAAGTCCTGCGAGAAAACGCCGCACCAAGGAGGAGATCGAGGCGGACAGACAGACAGCCAGGGAGAGGAAGGAGGCGAGAGAGAGACAGAGAGCTGCCAGGGCCCGGGAGAAGGAGGAGAGGAGACAGGAGCAGCGGAGGAGGAGAGAAGCTGCCGAGAACCTGAAGAGTCTGAGGCCGGAGAACTGCCTCAAGTGTCTGACAGTCTGCGTAGATCCAGGTACACTGGCTCACCACGCCGCTTTCAGGTGCTGTCGGAATTTTCACAACTCCATCGACTGCTAGGGACAGCCTTGTCAACTGTTAGGGAAAGATTGATAGGATTGTTAATATAAACAAAAAGCTATCAAGGATGATGTGTGAAATTATATTATTTTAATTACATTTTTAAATTTTAAGAAATATTAAAATATAGAAATATTAGCAAAGTTAGTATGTTTACAATTTTGATTCCATACATTGTTGACCAAACAGTGAAAAAACAACATAGGTATGTATATTAAATGTATTGGGGGTAATTGTGCTTTTTAATTTGGGCTGCTAGATATTATTTTAGTTTCCTAATTAAATAGAGTGCATTTTGCTACGAATGATGTGACAAATGTTTGTTCATGTACCAGAATCTTACCAGGTCTGTTGAAATATACACAGCTACTGGCTAATTGATCAATTAAAACTTCAAGCAAATGTTTGAAGTAGCTTTTTCCCACCCTGTTCTTTAAACCATACAACAGCCAACAGAACTAGTTAGGCAACTTCTTATTTGGCTTCATTTTGCTCCTCTAACCAAAAGCATGCATGCATGCATGACAATTAATATTTACAAGCTTTAATGTCTGAGCCACCAAGGAGCACTAAGGCATCATCTGACCAGGTTATGACCTCCAACACAAATAGGCTGAAATGATGTGTCAGTTTGTTCATTTAATAAGCGTGTGTGTGCTTTTCTCCAGCTCTTCTGCAGCAGGATGGCTCAGATATCTTGCTGGACACGCTGGTTGCCTTTGAGTGGAAGTTTAGCATTGAGAGTCAGCCACTCCCACGCAGTATCACCTGGACCAGAGATTTACCTCAGGTAGGAACCATGTGCTTCTCTTACATACTTTCTGTGCACTTTGCTCCTTCACCTGGAGCTTATTGTGGGTGTACAATTAGTAATGCACATGCATCTACATGCTTTCTTCATATGTATATTCTGTATGTTATCTGCATCTGTAAAGTGTATATAGTTAATATTCATGCTTTGAGTCTTTCCTTACATATGTAGAGTATATCCCTCTGCAGCTATATGATATGCATTTTGTACATTTGAATTATTTGCTATATTTTGGCTGCATTACATTTATTCCTTTTTACTTCCTTTTTTTTCCTTTACTCTTTGTCTTTAGCAGGGAGACGATGGCAAGGGCTCGGTGGAGGAGGAGCAGGTGGTTCTGGTGCTGGATCTGACTGATTTCATGGACATGGTGGTCTCTGTGAAGAAAGTAAGCAACCTATTAAGTTATAATAAATGAACTCTGATGGCAGACAACATAAGGGACTCTTTGTAGATTTTACTGTTGTGATTCTGACCTTAGGTCCATAGCATGCATGCTGTCCACTCTATGCCCTCCTCCATACAATTTTGTTGCCACTGCAGATGCTAGACAGTGAAGGGGAGGAGGTGGGGTCTTTCCTTAGTCCTCTTTTGGAGTGTCTCAACCGGGATGCCAAGAAGGTGGTCACTCTCTTAGTGACAGACTCTCAGCCAGATTACAGGTTAGAGTGTGTGCCTGTGATTTTGGCTATTAATGGATAGACACTGAGAGATACTTTTTTATGTACTAACTTTCTTAATCTCTAGTGAGATTAAACACTTACTTATAGGTTTACTTACCAACAGGACGGATGCCTGCGGTGTGCATTTACTAGACGAGACGATACAATCCAAACTGGGGATGGAGGATCTGGAGATCGAGGAGGTCAGTTTACTGAGAATCATTTCCACTGTGAGACTAATTGTACGATGAGAACTAGCTGATCTTATATGCTCTTTTTGTAGATGTTTCACAGACGGTTGGGCAACAGAACATAAAGTTTTCTTAAACGTGATACATACTTGACAAATACACGTTCCTGTACACTTTGTTATGTGGGCTGAGCTTTAATCAAATGAGGTTCAAGTACAGAGGGTTTCTTTGTCTTCATTTCTCTCCAGGTTCTTGTGTACTTACAGCTCAGCAAGAACATCTCACTGGTCTTCCTGGATGGCTGGCAGGAGGTCACTAACCATGTGTGTGCTGTCACTAAGGCCTTATCAAAACGCCCTTTCAAGTACGAAGCCACTCTACTCATTGTCACGTTAACAGACAAGGAAATGGAAACCTTAATTGTCTGTTTTACCCTGAAGTTAATATACTTCTTCACAGAGCAGTCAGAGAAATATTGGATACCATCTCATTAATACCTGACTAATCTTCCCTCACATATGAGATGTCCGTCTATGTCCTTCCAGACTGCTGACAGAGCGAGCAGAGCTGCCTTTCTGCGTGGATGGTTCGTGGGCCAGCGGGGTTCGGGTGGAGAGGGACGGCTCGGGGCTGATCGGGGTCTGGAGCAAGCAGATCCAACAGCTGAACAGGGTTAGCCCCGCAGTGGCATCCACTGTGACCGCGGCCTACCCGTCTCCTCAGCTGCTGCTGCAGGTACACCCGATTGCACTTCAGTATGGTCCTGTAGAGCTCAGTGCACAGAGGATGGTGCCAACACTAGCAGGGGTGACCACCCACTGTGTGCACCCTAGGCATTTTGGATAAACCGTTGCTTTTTATTGCTACAAACCTTTTAGGAGGTATAAAAACCAACCTTGTTTATTTCTTTAGCTTGGTGGAAATATATAATTTTGACACTGACTGATGGATTTTGAAAGGATTTAAGCTTAAAAATGCCTTAAACTATGTCTAAGTAGAATATTTAATTTAAATTTCCCATGTTTTTTAGGCATACCAGAGCTTGGGGTCAGAGGCGGACAGAAAGGGGCTGCTGGCTGGTCTCTTAGTGAAAAGTGGAGGTAAAGAGAGACGTATAGGACCAGAGATATCGGCCAGAGTTTATCGCAGCCTCACTGCCCAGAACCCCCAGCTGGTCCTTGACTAATTTGTCCACTTGAGAAGGAGATGGATTGACGTCAGCGATGGATTCATCTGGTTTCTAATGGCACTTGTCACCACTTGGCTGCTAATATGATAATGTTGATGTTTACAACCTGAAAATATGCCTTAGATATCATGTTCGCCTTCCAGTAAAGCACTATTTATACTCCTCTGAACGTCAACAGAAGGAATAGAAAATATATTAAGTAAAATTATATGATGTGTATTGTATATTTGGAATTCTGTTTGTTTATGAATGCAAGATGTATTGTTAGAGGGCCGTGTTATGTTTATGTATGAAATAAGCCTATAAAAAGAGCTACAACAGAACTTTTCATTTTTGTTTTATTTTAGAGAATTTCCTGAGTAAGAAAGTTCATAAACAAAGCATAACTGTAAATAGAAAAACAAATCCTCCTATATAACCACTGTAGGTATTCAAGCCAGGATGCTGATTAAAAAACACACATTTACTGTACAAAAAGTCATGTCCACAGTATCAAAAAGCCCCCCCCCCTTTGGAGTCTATCCCTGAGAAGTGTCAGAGTCTAATCTGGCAAACATTAGGCCTTAAAAAGAATTAGCAGTACAAATGGCTCTCATTAGCCCCATGACAGCAATTGGCTAAAATGTGACCCGGATGTCGCTCTAATATCTCAACTTCTTTAAAGGTCTCACTCACTACACACTCATGCCCTTCTCCCTGTTCACTGACAAAGTTGTTTTTTTAATGTCATAAACCTGCTACATAAAAAAAAAAACAAGCAACAATCCACTCAAGATGTCGATTCAGAAATATTGGCTAAACGATGAGATTGCTCTTATCTCCCTGATTTCCAACAGGAGATTTTGATGGCAATGGTAGAATAGCTGTGTGCTAAACACTTACAAATACATTTTGACCACTAAGTCATGTCCAGCGGCATCTTTTGCACTGGTAATCCTCTGGCTCGGAGCAGCAGCTGTCGTAGTCGCTGCTTGGAGGAGTTGGAGGGCAGTGGCAAGTGCAGGGTTGAGTTTGAGGTGACATTTGACAGGAGCACTGGTGTGGGACTGTGTCAAGAAATGGACTGGTGCAGGGGCTCGGAGAGGCGCAGGCACTCGGGGTGGATACTGGGCTCGGGATGGGGCTGGGGCTGAGGCTGGAAGGCATGCTCATCTCTTCATGTAAATCATCAGACAAGTCACTGTGCTGCTCCGAGGCCTCAGGGCTGCTGCTGAGGGTAAAGACCCAGCCTAGCTTTATGTGGAGGAGGGTGCGCAGGCCTGGGGGCAGATCTATAGCATTTAGTACGTCTGGACAGCAGGGCATCATTTGGCGGAGCTGGGCAGAGCAAAGGTACTGCAGGGAGGTGGGTGTATAGCAGGCACGGATCACCTTCATACTGCTTTTGGCTGCTGTGGAGCACACCATGGGGTAGAACTTCTTGTTCTGCAGCCTTGTGGCAGCAACACCTGTTGGAGCAAGATTAAAACACATCAGGATTATGATCCAGCAGGCACTCATAACTAAAACACTTTTCTCTTTTTTATGTAGCTAACACTACCTGTTTGAATTACAGAGAAACACGCACCTATGCAGTGCCGATTCTTGTAGAAGGTCAGTGTGCCGTGCCAGGTGTCCAGGTGCACTCCTATGATGGAGCCTTGGCCAAACCGAGAGGAGAATTTCACTTTGTCCCCTTTGTGCTGGAGGTAACCTTTATACAGATACAGAAAAGAAATAATTTTATATATTACTTTTTCAATGGATGCCATAAAGGGGTTGGCCACCCTCCTAAGGATCATTAGCTAAATCTGAGGGGTCTGGAGATGATTATTAGGGTAGGAAAGAAGAATAAAAAAGTTCTGCTGCATAAATGTGTTTTCACTTTTGAGAACATTGAGAACTACTGGTTTAATCTTTAACAATGTATTATATTTTAAAAGCTTAGCATATATGTTTTATGTAAAATTGAACTCTGACACTTCACCTATTAAGTATTTCCCTCTGGACTGTAGTGGAATAGAAGTTGTATAAATTCAAACTACTCAAATACCTTAAAATTGCACTTGAGCACCATACTTGAGTAAATGTAGTTGTCATCACTGGTGAAAAGTTTCCATCCAGTTTCACAGATTACTCTGATAGTTCATGGTATATGTGAATCCCTGTATTCTGGCGGTCTAACCTGTGTAGGAGAGTCCCCAGCTGTCTTCATCGTGGCCCAGCAGGCTGCCAAAGCTGTATTTGAACTTCTCCAGGTTCACCTCTGAAGTTCCAATTCCCACCATCTGCACCAATGAAACAATACAAACAGGATCAAAAGAGGTAAACCACAGCAACATCCATTAGACCAAACAAAGACTTTTCACATGTGTTTTAGGCCACTGCTATTATAACATCAGCATTATTCAAGGGGCTGCTACCCACCATATCGGTTCCATAGACAGGAGAGGTCATCTTGACTTCCCAGAAATGTTGACCGTCTGCAAGCTCCTGGGTGCCGCGGATGGCAGCTGTGCCGCAGCTGTAGTCTGAGTGAAAGCTCACCTTCCTGTTGTCGCAGCTGAGGAAGGCTCCAGAAGACTTGAAGTGAACGTCCCATTCCCAGTTAAAACCTGAGAAAAAAACCCGTATTAACTTGGAGGAAAAACACTACTGACTTTGCATGTAACAGTAAGTTAGAAAATCTGTGTTTTGGGGGAGATTTGTTCTCTTGTTCCATATCTTTGATCTGGCTTAATGAATTGAAACAGGACATTGCTCAATATGTAATTATATGCTCACAAAAGCCAATTATAGTATGTGTAATTTAATTCCATAATACTGAAATGGCCTTACCAGAATCAGAATCACCTATACTGTCCAGGTATGTGCACACATACAAGGAATTTTGACACAAATTACTATTTACAGTTATACATATATATACACAAACACAACAATAAGATTTGCACACAGTATACAATAGTGCAAAGGATGCTAAAATAAATACAGAAATATATACATGAGGTACGTGGATATGATAGTACAAACAGTATGCACAGCATGGGTTTGAATATATGTATTGTTGTAATATATAATATATGGTTATATTAATATCAAATTACAGTGTATACATTGGTGTGTGACTGTATTCATCATATTTTGCTCACCCTGATCCTCCTCCCCACAGAGGCAGTCACTGGTGACACCGAGGCCTGGGCTGAGCTCCTCCTGTCGGTCACACTGGCAGAAAGACTCCCCTATCACCGGCACCATGCTGGGCGAGGCCACCACCTCTGATACGGTCTGAGAACTTGGCAGGTAATCCACCTCAGAGTCCAGGTCGCTGATCTGGTTGACACAAATGGTATAAACAGCATCTTGTAAGTCCATAGACGTGGCCATGGTCCAGGAATGTTGGCTTGGTGGCAGGGAAAGGAATTAGATCCAGTGAAGAGAGCCAGAGGATTGTATTCCAACGTTTTCTCAGCTTTTTGTAAAGCCTAAACCTGAAAGAGTGATAGATCGCCAAGCCTGGATGGAAGAATCCAATCTTTATTCTTTATTCTTGGATCCCCATCAGCCACCACTAAGGTAGCAGCTACTCTAATCCTGCTGTCTTGCACTGGACTATCCAGAGAGCCAAATGAGAGCCGTATCACCCATGTGCCATGTTTCAAAGACTTAACCAGATAGCTTTTTCCCTAAAAGCTGTTCATGGTCCCTATTGGTGAGAGAAGCCATGTGTGCTAGTAAGTAAAATTAGACCCCTTCCAAAAATACTGAGCCCCCTTTCCTTGCCTCTGGAGACCTGACCATGTCTTACACACATAGCCATATCAGACAGGGGTCAGTCCCAGTGGAAAACTACTGGGACTCAGGTAAAAATATAAAATTTTACATGTGGATTTAACAATTTCTTATCCTCTAACAAATGTTTCTTTCTCTATTCTAGTCCAAGTCCATCTGAATTTCCCACCCCTTTTTAAATCCTCTCTTTTCCGCTGTTCTCCACACTTTTCTTTTGTTCTACCCCACAAACCCCAGTGTCTCACCTGTGTCGTTGTCTGGCCTTCCCATTCCTCTCTGTCCGATGTCTGGATCACCGCCATGGCATCTGTCTCCTGCCGTGTTTCGCTCCAGGCCAGATGCCGAGCCCGGCCGTTCCTGCCTCTTCTCAGCATGGCAGCTCTGTGGACAGCATGAGTAGCCTTATGACCAGCTGGCATATTTGCAGTAGGCCATGTAGTTTGTATTTATGTCAAGTAAGGTCAGTGTTGAATGCCTGGTTCACAGCTTTTTTCCTCTTTGTTTTGTTTGCTGAAGCCAGATCATTTTTGACACATGTCTGATTACACTTTCCAATTCTAGCAGCCTCTATTCAAGGAAGAGAGACAGAAATAACATGTCCTATTTAAGCTGAGTTCTTTGCATTATTTCAATTTTTAAAGTTGGTTTCTTTTATGATTTTACAGCTGACACACAGTTAAATTCCTTGTATTACCAATTTATTGTTTGTAGTTTGTATAAGAAAGGTGTTCGGTGTTCGGATTCTTCACAAACTTATTGGGCAACTGAAAGTAGGAGTGTGCATAGCAAACATTGCTATAGGCTTTTCTTAGTCCAACAGTGTTTTTCACTGACCTTTACTCTACTTAACAATCAGTGTAAAGCTACAATATTTTCTTGTGAGGAAACATGTCTAGTCACCTATAAACTTATCTTTGTGTGCCAGCCTGCCTATTTCCATCTGTCCCATATACCACAGTTGGCAGCAGGAGGTGTTTCCATGCACTTGTTTAACCTTTAAACCCTCTGCTTCGCCACTGTGCGGCATGTCTGTCAGCAAGGTCACCTGACCCAGTGAATACAATGTGTACCCATCATAAATCACACATTCTAATATCCTTTAGTTAAGACCCCTGCTAATATTGACCGTGACACCTTACTTCATGATTATATGACACTCTTATTCACTATGTAAGACGAGTTGGGAATGATAATGGATTTACAGATTCTGTAATAAAATTCTTCATGTATGATCACTATTAAATAAAAAACCTTTAGGAAAACTTTAATTAAAGTTTGCTTCATTGTGACACAGGGAACAAGTCCAGTGTAACAGAATAGGGTGTTTCTTTTAAAGACTAAACAATCAGTGAAGTTGATGCAATTCCAATGACACGAACATTATAGGAATTCTGCCTCTACCCAGTTTGTATTCATACAACATGTAATAACACAAGCATAATTTATTAATTAATAGTTGGACAGTTTTGGTAACTTCACCCTCTCTTCTGGGTTTTATCACCTGGAAAGTAGGTAGCTCCATATTAAGCAACCAAAAACAGAATCTTATCTTATCTGTGTTGAACTGTCCATCTCACAGTCAGCAATCATTACAATCAATGGTATCAATTCTAGTGATTTGTTTTTCCTGAAATGTTTCCCCTGTTTACAATTAAACTATTTTTATAAAATAAAAATCACTTGTGTGCCTCGACCTGATAGCATGTCTCGGTTAATGCCACCACTGAGCACAGCAGCTGGTGACTGCTTTGCAAGCAGGTGCAGGAGATAACTGCCATTAATTTAGATTAGTTAGTCTGAAGCAAGGCTCACTTTAATTGGGCCTTACCCTACATACTGTACCTGCATCATCTGGACAACTCAGTCAGGACAAACTGCTGTACCTTCGTCAGCAAATGTTCTGATTGACATAACAGGAATGCAGTCTCAGTAACACTGGCAGTGAGGTGAATGTTTTTTTTTTTCTTTTTAACTCAAATGACTGTCCATGTCCTGCCCTGACTTTCTATTCAACCAAAATCTCATGCTGTCCTTTAATAGTGATCCATTTTAGAAAGCCTATATTTACTGCACAGGTCAATGTAATTCTCACTGTAAATCATTCTAGATAATACCAACAATGGAATGGTTAAATCTCAGCATGTATATTCAGTAAGTGAAAGACTACATCAGTTGTTGTATCTTTATCTTAAAGGTTAATCAAACACAGTACAGCATGAATATCTCAGTTTTAGCAGCAGTTATGCTCTTACCTTACAGTGGTCTTCCTATACACTGTCTTGCAGTGGCTCATTTGAATGCTGGTGTGCCTCTATGTCCGACCGCGTAACAGGTGCAGTTCGCACTCTGTCCCACTTCTCAGCAAGCTAGAGGTAAACATTACTTCTCCACGCCCTTATCGTGTTCTTATTGGAAGAGATCTACATGGGGGAGGAGTTTATGTTGATTTATTTAGTTACCTTTATCTAAGTAGGGTAACTATCTATGGGGCAAATGATGTGGAGACATCATGTGTAGTCCGCTTACTTGAGAACACAAGGAGTGGAGTACCCACAATGTGCTTCATAGCTCAAGCGAAAAATAAAAAATATATAAAAAAGAAGCACTATTTCAGGTGGCAGAAATTATCTGCCAATATTTATCATTCACCAGACCTAAAGTAGTGTATACTGACACTAATTATTTAAGTAGGCTTCAAAAATTGTATTTTGGGACAATTAGCAAGCAAGATAATGTTAAATAGCTATATGTGTCAATATATAAGGCCTATGTCTGGAGCCAGTTGTTTGCCTTTAGCCCAAGTCGTTGTCGTCTTCGCTCTGAGTAAAAAAGTTAAGTCAAATCCATTTTAAACAACACAAAACACAAAAAACGTCATTGGCAATTGGAGTTTTTGGTGCAATTGAATGCACCACGGTGCGCAGCGGCAGCCTATTGGTTGCGTTGGAGGAGAGGCGGGGCTTATGTGTAACATGCGCTGTGTGATTGGCTCGGAGGCACCTGACGATGTACGGAAGTATTTGAGGTCTGTGCTGTGTGCATGGTTGAATCCCTAATCCAAAATATGGAGCAAAATAATGGTAGGACGACGTTACCGGTCAACGGTGTTCATTAGGAGGCTAATTCACTATTTGTAGCTCGTCCACCTGTACACGAACTGTATCCTTGTTTAGAGATAGCAGCTGTCAGACACTGCGCGTGTTCGGTAATAGTTACCATGTTATAGCTTAGCTAACTGGCTAGCGGACGCTAGTTGGAAATAAACTATTCAGCTCTGTCAGCGGCTAAAACATCCAACACCGGAGCTTACCTCACGCTTTTAACAGCCTCGCGGTTGTTGTCTACATGAAAAAAAGATAATACATAGTTAATAATGTCACTATAATGTTACAACATCATTCCAGAGCAACTCTAACCTACTTACGTTGAACTTGTGAACTCGGGTGATGAAACCTGAAAATGCGACACTTCTCTCTGACCCTTGTTTCGGAATACCTCGTCATAGTTGTGTCACAAAATTGACTCACATTTAAAGTTCAAAAATAACCTTCCATGTATCTGTTACACTCGTGCTCAACTAAGCCAGTTTTTTTTCTCTCCTTTTGTACATGAGACGGGGGCTTGGCCCAGGTGCGGCGTGTTGTGTTGGTCCTTTCAGGGAAAGGAGGTGTGGGCAAGAGCACCATCACCACAGAGTTAGCGCTGGCTCTCAGGCATGCTGGCAAGAAGGTGAGCACAAAGATGAGCTGTGTGTATGTGCAACTGTCATAGATAGATAGATAGATAGATAGATAGATAGATAGATATACTTTATTGATCCCAAGCTGGGAAATTGCAGTGTAGCAGCATTTAACACACAGTGAACAGACACAATGAAAGTAAAGAGAACAACCTAGAATATCAAAAGCAATTATAAAATGCAATATAAAAAATGTATAATGTGCAGTGAACAGATTATGTAAAAGAGACTATGTGGTTATGATGCATGTGTAAATACAGTGGTTTAAATATTCAGTATTTAACAGTCCATGTGTTGATGTTGCTGCTTTGTTCATCAGGTTGGCATCCTGGACGTGGACCTGTGTGGGCCCAGTATCCCCCGCATGCTGAGCATCGGGCGGCCTGACGTACACCAGTGTGATTCAGGGTGGGTACCTGTCTACGCCGATGCCCAGAAGAGCCTCGCCCTGATGTCCATCGGCTTCCTGCTGGAGGACCCAGATGAAGCAGTGGTGTGGAGGGGGCCCAAGAAAACCGGTATGATATTAAGAGTTTGTGCTGGTCCACTTCCGCTCTGTGACACTGTTTTATAGACCTACCATGTGGGTGCAGAACTCACCTTCTTCTCTTCGACATCCTTCCCATCTCTGAATATTCTGTCCTGCAGCTATGATTGGCCAGTTTGTGTCGGATGTAGCGTGGGGGGAACTGGATGTGTTGCTGGTGGACACGCCGCCAGGGACGTCTGACGAGCATTTGGCAGTACTGGAAAACCTTAAAAAACACAGATTGGATGGAGCCATTTTGGTCACCACACCTCAGGTACGCACTAGTCTGGAGAGACTGACCTACTGACCACAATAGGAGGAAGAATACTAAAGAAAACAAATGGGTTTACACTGATAAACTAATAGGTTATGTGTATGCATGTGTGTTTAAAAGCAAATTGACCAATGCTGTGGCTCAGTTATTTAGAGTTTCCCAGCAAAACCTAAACTACTAACATTCAGAATCAGAATACGTACTTTATTGATTACCAGGGGAGGAAATTGGGTTTGTTGTCATGATTAAATGCTATTTCCTGCTATAAATCTACCAAAATATTGCTTCCAACAAACTCAACAAATGTAAGTCTTCTGCTCTTGTGTTGGCTACAGGCAGTATCCACGGGGGATGTGAGGAGGGAGATCACCTTCTGTAAGAAGACCGGTGTACGGATCCTGGGGATCGTAGAGAACATGAGCGGCTTTGTTTGTCCACACTGCTCGGTGTGTAAACTTTCATACAGAGTCTGAATTCAGATGTGAAACACCAATAACTTCTAATGAAATTAGAGTAATGTGCATCTAAACATGACATGCGTTGAAGGATATAAGAATATTTAGATATTCATCCAAATACATACATTAATTTTGTTTTTTGTCAAAAGTTTACTGTAGTCAGATTGCATCCATTTTAACAAATATTCTATCTTTTCAGGAGTGCAGCAATATATTCTCAAAAGGTGGCGGTGAAGAGTTAGCCAAGCTGACTGGATCAATATTCCTAGGTGAGATCAATGGGATTGAATTACAATGTAATGTTAGCTTCCAGCCACAAGGTGTCACAACACACTGTGATTGCACATCACTCCTCACCCACCATTCATGGTTTAGGAGGCATTTTACATCACTGCCAAAATGGTCGGTCCAGATTTCAGTGCAGCGGCAGGCTTACAACACCTCAGTGATACATGCTCATCAATAATTCTTGCTCAAATTAATAGATTATTTAACGTTTTCCCTCAGTGGTTATCTGCTTTGTGTGCAGATCAAGCTCTTGAGTAATGATGCAGCTAATTCAACTTACCCTGTGGCAGTGAGAAGCCAGCTGTATCTGACTGTACTGCATAGCTTTAGCCATGCAAGTATTTGACCCATAACACCCACTTGATCCTCACTATAGATGATCATTCATTATGTTAGTTGAGAGGGCTACATGCAGGCAGGTAGCTGTCAGCCATTCCTCAGCAGTGATACACAGTAGTGCTATTTACTGGTTAGGGTTAGATCAGTAATCAACATCCTGTCTCTTCCATTTCAGGTTCTGTGCCCTTGGATCCTCTGCTCAGCAGCAGTATAGAGCAGGGCAAAGACTTCATGCAGTCATTTCCCAACAGTGCCACCTTCAGTGCCATCAGCAGTATATCTCAGACTCTGCTTAGCAGCCTCCAAAATGATTGAGACATGAATTTATTTACTCCAAATTCTGGATTGTGTTCAGATTTTTGGGCCATATGCTCTGTGGAAAGTACAGTATGATGCAGAAATATTAGTCTTTGTGCAGATGTAATGATTTCTATGTTGCATTTTTGTACAGTTAATTATATAAAACTATTTCCTGAATATCTTGATTTGTATTTATACCTGATTTAAAAAAATGAAGTATCCAGCAACAGTGAAATGCAGGCTTTGTTTGCAGTTATCTTTCAGTGCTGAGTTTGCAGTTCTTGTGGGTGTTAACCACAGTTTGAAGATTACCAGCTCCAACCGCTAACACAGTGCAACAGGAAGAGATTAATACTGTAAAGCTAATCTCATTTTACAGCAAATTCGGAGACATTTCGAAATAAAAAATGCCAAGTCAAGTCTTAGAATGTGTCGGTGTACAATACTGAAAAAAAACTGCATTTTGTGTTTGGAAGCCAGTCAAATCTAAGTTGGAATCTTCTTTAATTCGACACGTCGACACATCAGGATAACTTCAATACCAGTGGTAATACAGCTTTGTAGATTGGCGCTTCAGTCAATGCGTCAGCAGCAGTTCCAGTTTCAGAAAAACAAACTCCAGATCAAATCGACCAATCATTGCATGAAACTAGGCCAAACTTGGAACGCTAATCTCACTGAATTCTTGCTGCACGCTACAAACAATGCCATCAGTCTTCTTGTATCGTTTAAACAGGTTTTTTTGGAGGGGAAGGAACTCTACAACATTAAACTAGCTTTTTGATCTGGATTAAGTCTTCTGAAACTAGCCTGCTCTTCAGGTTCATATCCAACAGCAACAAGACACTGAAACCCATGCAGGATTTTAATGGCTGGAATGTGGAAGAGATGAAGTACAGCCACAGATGAGAGAGGGGGGGTGAATAAGATGGAGAGGAGATGAGATTTTGGAAATTACACTTGTGAGACCCATCACGGGGCACACACACTTTTAATGCAAACAGCAGTACTACAGGAAAAACACTGAAGTTTGAGAATGTTTGCGTAATGATTAGAATACAGCTACACACAAAACTCCCACTTCACCAGCAACATACTAAAGGCAATCTTAATTATTTAACCAAGAATTACATCCAGAGGAATTCCAACCACTTATCACAATAACCCCACAGTGCATTAAATCTATCTATATAGATATTTATATGTCTGTATATATATGTATAATATATCCTGGGGAATTAAAGACTTATGCTGCATTAAACAGTTCAATGAACAATTTCTTATAAATAAAATCAGTTGAAAAAAATCGTAAGTCCATATACATTTCTCTTTACAAATAGATCCTCAAGATTAATGCAGAAATTGTGTCAACTCCCAGGTTGATATGGGAGGAGAAAAAGCTGTGCGGCCCATTGGTCAAGCTCTCTAAGACCAGAGGCCAGGCTGCCTCAGCTGGCCTCAAGGCCTGAAATAAGTGGAGGGAAAAAAGGAATCTTCATCATACAACTGTTTTGAAACACACACGCACACACACAAGACAGACAAATCACTACATTGCGCATTTACAAGTTGACTATCAAATTGGGACGACTGTACACATTGTTGAGATAAGACCATATTTATGGAGCCATTTTAATTCATTTTTTCCACGCCTTCACTTCTTTCATCTTGTGTGGCAGAAATTTTTACAATTTTTTCCCCGTTTTACACTTTTTCTCCAGCAGCAACATAAAAGGACAGATCTTGTAGTGGAGATGTCGGGTGTTTATTTCGTGGACAGAATGAGGGCGACGATGAGCCCATAGAGACCCAAGACCTCAGCGAAAATCAAAATGAGGATCATGCCCACAAAAAGCCTCGGCTGTTGAGCTGTGCCCCTAACGCCTGCGTCGCCCACGATGCCAATAGCGAAGCCTGCTGCCAGCCCACTGAGGCCCACGCTCAGCCCGGCTCCCAGATGGAGGAAACTCCTAAACACAGAGAGACAAGTGTTAGTCAGCACAGGAGATGTCGAGGATGCTTTGAGGATCAAGTTATCTGATTTAACAGTTTTACACGATTGCAAACATTTTAACCAAACATGCAAAAGTGTGAGCATCTGTAATATTTGTGACAGTGATGCATGCGTGCAGAAACAGAAAAAAAAAAGCAGCAAACAATGTCCCTATATTTATTGTCCAAAAACTATTTTCAAAAAGTCATGGCTGCATTGGGAGACTAATTCCATCATGAAAATGAGACGGCAAGTTTACTTCTGTGACATTGTCTAAACTGCAGACCAGTGTCAGCACAGGAACCAGGTCCTGAACGTGTGCAGTGATTGTTGTTGATGTTAAATTACACTGACTGTGTGAAAGTAAGAATGTTCTTATCAGTTTATGATTAATGGATCTAGTGGAGCTACATCAGGATGGTGGCCTAGTAGGAAGAATTCACTGGTTTTGGGCTTTTCTGGAGCTTTGTTGATAATAATCACTACAGTCTTAGAACTGATTAACTTAGCCTTTCCTACTCAATTTTGCCACAGAATTAAAAAAAGTGTCCTATGAGATGTGTTGACAAATAAACAAAAGCAAAAAATAGACAACAACGTCCTGGAAATCGGACTGTGGTCAACTGAACTTACTTGTAGAGGCTGACCTTCTCTGAGATGTTGTTGGCAATCAGCACTGCTACTACCAGGCCGTAGATGGCTATAATACCCGCCATGACAACGGGGATGATTGACTTCATGATGAGCTCCGGCCTCATCACGGACATGGCGGCGATCCCTGTACCGCTCTTAGCTGTGCCATAGGCTGCTCCCAAGGCTGGTAGGGAAGACAGAGATAATGACTCGAGTTAAATAAACAAGGCGGCAAACTAGAGTACACACACTACAATGGATGTTACAATAGAGCCGCAGACGGACGACAGAAACCAGAGGCACAACTGAATAATGAAGCAGAAGTGAAATAAGAGATGGTGCAACAATACGACGACCTTTACAGTTTCAGTTCCCTCTAAAAATCCAACATGGCTGCACCTGGGAATTTTTTTCTGTCAAAAGGGAAATAGCTGATTCTGTACTTGACGCAGGTACAATGTGACCAAAATTCAGCTGTGTGTTTGTGTCTCATCTCTTGACACTGCTTCGGCCCCTGTAATTTCAGAATTGGATCTGGCAGACAGCTGCAGAGTGCTACATCACTTTCTGAATGGAAAAAAAAAAAAAAAAGCCTCATTAGGCTTAAGCACATAGGGAACTGCTGACATCACAATAGAAGCAGGGTACCACCTCTCCAGAGCCAGCATCAGTAAAGGAGGGGAGGGCCGTGTACAGTACAGACTCCTGCGACATCTGCAGTGTGCACTCTCCCATCCAGACTAGTCTCTGGCTAGCGTCACCGTAATGTGACTGGGAAGGAGGAGAACAAAAAGCTTCATCAGCATGTTCGCTCAGTGGGCCTGTGACGCTGAGGAGAAAGCACAGTGCTACCTACGTCACACACAATCAAGTCGGACTGCAGGGGGAGAGGGAAAGAAAATCAATGATCACACCGTGCTCTAAAATTAGAATCCATATAGAATCTAATATAGAACAGCAACCCTCCATTCATCAAGAACTGGCTTGAGTTCTGCACGGTTCATAAAATAGCTTCCAGGTGACACGGCAATTATTTACAATCTGTATATCACACAACGCCCTCCATCCTCAGACACTCGATTTGGATAAGGAAAAACTCAAAATGGAAGAAAGCCCAGGAAGAGCAACAGAGGAAGGGCCCCTCTTCCAGGATGGAGAGACATGCAGTAATGTCGTCTGTCTTGCAATATCCAACAAAGCCTGTCAGAGCAGGACGGGCTGGTTTAACAAGATTCCCTTTGGCAAAAATGTGCGTACACGTATTTAGAAAAAGTCCACAGTGAAAGTAAGGAAAAGTGAAAGCTCAGAGACGGCACTGACCGCAGAAATGCATCAAATATATTGATCCATACATGCTGTGGCAGTTCTTTCACCATTCAGCTTAAGACGTTTCCCATTTTCACATATTTATTGCTTATTATAGATGCTGCGTTGATGCTAAATATAGCCATCTGCTTTCTATGACTTCTCTACTGCAACGACCGAACACGCCAAAGCTAAATGTTGCTTGTATGCATTTCGCAAACGGATGTCAAAATAGCCACATAACGGTCAGTACAACTTATGTAACATTGTCAACTATGTTGCAAAGCACTATCATTTAAAAAAAAAAAGGACCTGGCAAGTAGTCTTGCGTCTCCATAGCCAACACACTGATGATGATTAAATCTGAAAAGTCTCTTTGGATATGGTCTTGGGAGACAGCCTTGTGCCCGAGGTGCCCTGCGTTCTCTCATTTCTTGGGACAATGTGTTGGAGATAGTTCTGGTTAACTCCGAGACTAGCTGGGAGGCTTTCTGGCACACGGATCTAGAGGCAGACAGGAGGATGATACGGGCCAATCTTCAAATGTGCACATGGCAGCCAGCCACATCCCCAACTACTTGCATTGATGTATCACCAGACTGATGCAATCAATACAAGGTTAAATCACTCCTGCCCATCTACAGAGATCTGTTTGAGGATAACTGGGCACTGTTTGGGCTTGCAAAGAGACACAGTAAGAATGATTGTCTCATTTGTTCTTCTGCTCTTCTTGAAGTGCCAAACCCTTTGCTGGTGGACTGAAGTCTTTATACACAAACTATATGGTATATCGCATCAAACAAGTTGACTTACACCTGCACGAGAAAGGACAAACCAAAATAATCCGAGCCAAATAGAACAATTCTAGATAAACACAGTTAGGGCCAACAACTAATTATGGAAATGCCTGAGCTGTTTCTTTGAGCCGTTCCAGCCCAATTCCATAAAGCCAAGCACAATGCGTTACAGTCAGTAACGTTATCCTCCGACTCCATTCTTTCTTGGTAAGCTTGGTCTCACCGAGGTATGACAGCGGACGGTTGACAGAGAAACACGGGAGTCCTCAAACACTGCCATTGTGTCCTGATGATTAAAGGTTGGATATGTGGCAGCGGTGTGGAGAGGCACAACCTCTGGGTTTTAATCCTAATCCCTTCAGCTTAGGTAAAGAGCTTTTCCCCATTTCCTTTTTTTCCTTCCTGCAGAATATTTCATGTATGGGATGCCCTTGTGACGTCTTGTGATGTCAGAGCAGGAGGGGCCTCCAGCTAGGGATGATCTTGCATGCAATATGCCCACGCACTCGACAGCGGATCGGTCTGCTCCGAGTAGTAGGTGAATGGGGAAGCACTGGCTTTAAGGAATGAATGAAAAATAAAAGCAGGAAGGTGATCGTTGTAAAAGCGCTGTCCTAGTTCACACAACTGCATGCTGGCTGTAGCCTACATGGTGTAAAAATGATGACTCGCTGACCAATCTATTGCATCAGAAGCTGAGGGCTGGCCTGAGCATATATGCCAACACCACCAATTAGACATTTGCATTGAAGAGTGTGTGTTCAAGAAAAAAAAAGGCAAAGTGAATTAAAGGTCAAGCAACTGAAAGCACTATTGACTGACTAAAATAAATAGTAATTAGGTTTTCCTAGTAAATTGCACAGTAAATATATAAAAAGCAGATGCTACAGAGCCAGAGTGTAACAAACGTGCATTAAATTGTTATCAGCACCGTCATGAGGAGATTTATCAGTCAAAACAATAATCCAAGTCTGCTTTATACTTCTATTGTTATGCTTTTACTTTGCTGGCAGAGAAAACAGTGGGATATGTGGACTGTTGGTTAAGATGTTAATGAAACAGAAAAAGTGAAGGACAGCTTTTTAGGAGTGGTGGCTCCAGTGTCATGGATAATTGCCCCTTGTGAGTGTCACATGTTCTGAGCCAGGCATCAGTAAGGGAAGTCCTCACAACGGGGCTGCCAGCACCACATCACTAAAACAATGAAACATCACCTGACACCAGAAGATCAAACCAACTCACAGCCTGTTCCATAAAATGGAGCCTGTTGGGGGTTTTAAGTTGTGGATCAGAAGGAGTGAGCATCCACTTGGCTTGTTAATTTGTTATTACTTTTTATATTTAGCAGTTGAATGATGGATCCCCATAATGTGACTGACTGACGGTAAAAATGGATGTTCATTGCAGCCATACTTCTTCAGCATGTGCACAGTAAGGTTCCCACCGTCACAGCAGCAGAGGCTACAATTTCATGTTAAAGACTGTACGACACACTGAAAGATCCTTCCAGTGTGAATCATCAAGTGTCCTCAT